ATACTATATACTATAAGTTTTATATATTATTATAGAGATATAATAGTACTTACTAGAAGAAAACTAGATTTTTTCTTAAAAGTTACTTAAATACGTATAGCTTTTTAATTACGTAATATATCTTAGTGTAACTTTACTATAAGGTGTAATATACTATAGAGAATATATATATAAATTTTTATAGAAAAATATTAAGGTTTCGCTTAGTTATTTAAGAAAAACAGGTTAATTTTCGTTAATTTTCGTTGCCAAGAGAAGGTGACACGTTCGCTTGTGTGACACGTTCGCTTGTAAAGTACGTTAGCGGCTTTTTAGTGGGGGCTTGGCATTTTTAGGGTGTTCGATAGTGTAGGGCTTTCGATGGTGGAGTACGTTAGGTTAAAATAAAAAGTAAAGTAGAGTGTAGGTCGCTGCCAGATAATTGGAAATGAAAATAGCCTGTATCATGTGCGTTCGATACCATTAGTACCTTGGCACGGTCTTGGAAACCTAGGCCCTTCTGCTCGTAAGTGCATGCGGCATCAACGAAGCGCGATTAAGACACGGCGCTGTAGCAGCCTCGCGTATCGCCCTGGCTGCGTGCAGAGATCTTGACTCCTGTATTGATGGATATCGAATACTTTCGGGACCTTCCCAATTCGTGTCCCGTTTGACCCAAAACTCCTCGCCGAAGGTATGAAAGCCCTGTTTATGCCGTTTCAATCATGAGCAAGAAAAGGTTTAGAACTGGTCCAGAGTCATGCTCATAGACACGTCGGTGCTCTCGACCATCTTGGTAAACTCATCGAAGCTGATCTTGCCATCGCGATCGAGGTCGGCCTCCATTATGGTCTTGTCGACAATCTAGGATGTCTGTTAGCATGTTCCCCATACTACGGTCGCCACCAACATCCGCAGCCATGATTGCTAGGCAGGGGCTGTGCGTACTTGCTGCAGTTGCTGGTCCTTCAGATTGCTCCCCACCATCATCTTCAGGACGATGAAAAGCTCGCCGTTGCTTATATAGCCATCTCGATCAATGTCGTACACGCGGAAGGCAAACCTCAGCTTCTCCTCCTTGTTGCCCTTGCTGCTGAATGCTGATAATCCAGACACAAATTCCTGGAAATCGACGTCGCCGCCGCCGTCTTCATCGAAGATAGCAATCATGCGGGTTGCGAGAGGGTTGGAGGAGATCTGCGGGAGGGCTAGGAATTCGTCGCGCTCGATGGTGCCGGAGTTGTCCTGGTATGTCAGTTGGCCACAGCCCTAACAATGGCGCAGGGGGGGAGCAGTAGTCGGCATACCTTATCCAGCTTCATGAACCGCTTCCGCAGGCGGTCCACCTCCTCGCGGTCGACTGCGTCTCATCAGCACCTAGTTTTCAGCCCCACGTCGCTCCCTCGAGCTGAGCGCCGCTCCAGGTGGTGTCACGTACAATTCGAGCCCGAGGCTATGTTGTCCAGGATCGCGGAGGGTTGGTTCCCCATCTTAGCTGTTCGTATGCGTAGAAAATTGATTCGAGGGGAGGGTTTGCGGAGCAGAGGTGTTGCTGCCGTGGGGTTCCTCGCCCTCGCGAAATGCGCTAGTCCCGCCGCTCAGGGCCCTCTTCTGATTGGCCCCCGCGGCCGGCGTTTCTCCGCGCCGACTGCCAAGACCCGCCTTCAGCCCCCTCGGCCTGCTGCATCATCGCTCTCGCCTGCACCAACGTTCACGAGAACGAGAACGAGGGAAGAAGAGGATCCGTTGCGCCCCCCATGGCTTCGGACGCGCCCTCGGAAATTGCGTCCCTGCTCCAGTCCGCCTCCATCAAGCGGCATCCGTCACCGCGACACGATCTCAATCCATCCACGGCCGCCTCTGAGAAGCAGCCGGTGCACCTCTCCGCCGACCCCGATGTCGCGTCCGATGTCGCCGAAGATGAGATTCCCACCAGCGTGCTGCGGCCCGTGCCGCGGCGGAATACTATGCCCCCGCTCCCAGACCTACGCTTCGAACAAAGCTACCTGAAGAGCATCGAGAAGGCGGAAACGTGGAAGGGCGTCCTCTGGATCACAGTGAAAGACCAGGTAGGCTTGCACGAGTTGGCAATGGCGTACGCTCTCGTATACAGAAGCTGACGACCATAGGTTATCTTGTGCTTTGCTCAAGGCGTGCTGTGGAACCTCATCATCCACGGCTGGCGGCATTGGAATCGATCGTCCAAGTTCAACGGACAGAGTGTAGGCGCCAGGATACGCAGATGGTGGTGGGGTGTCAACAAATGGACCATACCTAAGGAGGGTCGCTCACGTCGCTCACGTCTGAGGGACAAGAATTTGGCGAGGAACGTGTCGGAGGTAAGTGCGGCCTTCTTGAATGTCTGGAAACCTAGGACAGTGTAAATGAGACCATCTTGTGTGCTGACATGCTCTGTAGTACTACGAGGACGAATTCTCGAGTGCCGCCCAGGATTAGCCATAGTGTGCTATATTCCGCAAACAAAATGCATCGGCAGGTGTTAAGGATGTCCATGCACTGCTTCAAATCAATGTAGCGGATTTTCGCACTACCGCCCTCCTCAAGCCGCAGCAAACGGCCGTTGTTAACTAAATCCCGCCGACTTTCCTTAAAATTATGATAAGCGCAGTAGTGAATGCTTTATCCAGAGCCGGGCGATTTACGGCCAGCTTAGATCACCTATCGTCATGGATGGAGTCGCTTGTCCAGCTGACAAGTTGTAGTGAAGAAAATCTCAAGCTGGTCGGACGCACCCACCCGCCCTTTTATGCCTTCGCATGCACGCTCTACAAACCCGCCGGCTCTGCGATTCATCTAGCTGTCTACCACAACCACGCAATAGCCCGATGGATGCTAAGGGCTCAAAGACAATCCCCAACGTATCTATGACAGCTAAAGAGCCTCGGAAAGTGCGCAGGTTCAAGGCCGGAGGACCAAGGTATGTATGGCTCCCTTCTCCTTGGTTCCGGCTAAGAAATGTGAGCACCGACACGAACATGATCATCATTTGCGAGGAAGTGATCGAGCGCTTTCCGTTTCCGGAGCGCCTGCTGCACCTTTTGGCATATACCAAGCTACGGGTGGAAAGTGGTTCGAGCGCAGAGCGTATACTGATGCGATAGAGCTCAGCAATGTCTGCCTCGTCATGTACCAGCTTGAAGTACTTTAAAGTGTAAGCGAATTCTCTTGACCTGGGTTTGGTAAACTGAATCACCCATGCTCCCTTAACAGCATTCGGCTTAAACACTTGGATCGTGCATTATACACACGATCATTAGGATGATGTCCGCAGACGCAGGTGCTGAGCGGCTAGTGAAGAGACAGTGGTTAGATTGCGGAGTGACGTTCGCCGCAGCCCCGTCTAGTCCCGTCGTGGTGCCTAGGTAGTCGAGATCCCGCTTCCCGAGTATGGACTGTCGGTCTCTCCATGAGGGATCATCCGGCCGTTCTTTAATAAGCATGCGCTCAGCAGCACACATTTTTAGGTGGCTTACTACGATTGGGATTGGTAGCTCCCGCTGCATTCACCTTTTACTCCTATCATACTACATTCGCCTATTCCAGAATTACTATTTGGGGCCCTAGGCGGTGTAGGGCCGTATATTATGGAGGAGTTCTTCACTCGATACAGGCCCCACCGCGACTTAAGCACCAAAGATGTGGTTCCTCCGTAGCCGTGTTCTAGCTCTCCATCTATTCGACATTGCCATTACAGAGCTTAGCTTCGATAATGACGTTGAACGGGAGACACACAACAACTTTATTGTCGGCGGAGGGACGTCAAGCTTGGTAGTTGCGGACCGGTTGACTGAGGACAACCACGGTGAGCATGCATATGTGTTCCATAGAAAGAGTCTGCTAAAGCATGCACAGCGTCTGTGCTCCTAGTTAAAAGAGGCAGCTCCGACAATAAGCCAGAAGCTATCATCCCATATTACGCCCAACTTCCGCGCCTTCAAATACAACGAGAATATCTAAACGACTGACCACCATTACGACCCCCTTCCATTCCACGATTCTCCCCTCTCAACCACCGTACTCGCACCTTTTCCAGGCCGAGTCCATGCTTCCGCCACACCGCCACACCGCCTCAGAGTGTGTATGTCTTCCACCCGCCAGTGCCTCCACGGGTGTAGTATGCCTCGCTCAGGTTTCCAGCATCATTCGTATACCCGACAACCAGCACATCGCCTCTGAGCCCGGCAGCACAGCGAACCCAAGGTCGCCGCCTGAGTTCCATCCGGACACCGGGGAGTATGCTACCTCGCCGAGAGTAGTACGCGGTGTGACGTAGTAGACGCGGATCTGCACAACGCCTCTATTAGCTTTGCTCGTTCTGCTTTCGATATCGGCTAGTTAATACAGCCTTGAGGGCCTCCAAGCCTAGTGTTATTAACTAAAATGAAGGCGATGGCGCGACTTACATTCGGCACTGTATCCCCCGAATCGACCCAACTGAGCGCCGCAAGCGGCGTATTCGCACGCGTCGCTCCGCTAAAGATGAGCGTTTCTTCTCCAACTAGTGCAGTTGGAAGACCTGTGACGATCTCGCTAATGCCGGAGGACCGCTTGTCTTGGTAGTAGATGCGCAGTTCGCCATGGTTAAAGATGTTGATGCCGGCGGCGGAGGTACCTTTGGGGATGGGAGTACTAGCGCAGATGCCGGCGATGGCGGAGAGAAGGAGAATGGAAAGGGAGAACTCCATTGTAGGGATGGATTGGGAGCTTTGGAAGAACGTTTGGGGGCTTTGGGTAAGTGGCTACCTGGTGATGTGGATGGGATTGTTGGCGTTGCTGATGCGTTTCTGGGGTCTTCGATGAGGGTTTATATCCTGGTCGGACGTTTTCCTGTCGAAGTTCACATGGAACCATTTCAACTCCAGCTGAACTCGTCAATCCCGAAGGCCAGCCACCATTCTTACGATATCTCTCAACAACACCATCTTCAACAAACATGAAGTCGTTTCTCCGCGGCATCCAGCATCTCCTCTCGTAGAAGCGGTGTCGCTCCACAGTTCCAGCTTCCACACGCATGCCACTTCATGGCCATCCTTCCTCGCCGGAACCCTCGTCCTCAGCATAAACACCAACTTTGCGAGTATGCGATTGCGAAAAGGCTGCTCTCCGGGGGGATCCTCAAAGTCCATCAATCTAATCAGCTGCCTAGCCTCACCGTCCTGCATCTTGCGATATGTTGTGCGTACAAGCACTGCGGACGTGAGCGAACTTGTGGAGCTGGTATACGAGGCTGCGCATATGGGATTACCGCTTCAACTTGAGGTATCCGCCTATATAGGCGCTTGGCAGTATTGAGGAATCTTGAAAGGCTGCGAGAGCGATTTAGATGAGGCTATATGGTGATTCTGGGTTCAGGTCGCCACTTTAGCTCTTCGATCGGGGATGCAATTTCGGAGTCTCATGTTCCGCTGACTACTGAGGAGATATTGGAGGATCTGATGTTATCTTGCATGGCCGTTATGCGTAGGTGGAAATCAGGAATGTCTCTTTCTCAACCTTGCTTGCTAATAGCCCGTTAACCACATCGTCAGATCAGCCAGGAACCTCACTCAATAGTGGCTCACGTGCGTAGGCCACTATTCAAGCAAACCCTTCCATGACGCTTTTCACTACCAGCTCATGCAGTGAAATTCACCTCCTGCCTGCGACAAAAAAGATTCCAAATGAAATCCAGCCTTTGACAAGGCTCCGCATGTGACCGAGCTATCCAATCGCACAGAAAGACACAACAAAGCACAGAAGTATTCAGCGAAAAGGACCACAAGCAGGCAAGGCCTAGCGCACTAACTCAAGCGGGCGACTGACAGTTTCATTTTCTTGAGTAGAACCATACCCTTAGTAAACCAGCGGTTGAATTAAACCAGCTCTTCAAGCTACTTAGTCCGCTCGACGAAGTTCTGCCCCGCCTTATCCTCATCGACCCTCACCCCTTCAACATCCAAAAGCTGCTCCTCACTGACGGCCGTCCTTGCACCGCGTCTAGCCCCTATATTCTCTAGCTCCGCAATCCGATGCGCTGCACCATGCGTCTCTGCACTCGCAAACTGGCGCGCCGGGACGCGTCTCTCAAACAGCTCGTCCAGCTCCTCAAGCGAGCGCCCACTAATTTCAGGAACGCGGAAGTACGCATAAAACGTAGCGATGATCGAGAAGCCACCAAAGATCCAGCCAATATTCGCGCCAATATCATCGAGCAGATACGGGACCGTGAACGCGACGAGCCATGCGGCGACGACGTTGACGGTGCTGGTAAATGACATAGTCTTCTCGCGCAGGGCACCGGTGCCTATCTCGGAGCCGATGACGTACGCGATGGGCGCCCATGTGCTACTAAAGAAGAAGTTGAAGAGCATAACGGTGGCAACGAGGCCATGAGCGTCGGCCGAGGTAGGGTTCTTCTTAAGGCCAATGCCCGCCATGGCGAAGAGGAAGACTGCTTGCAGCACGGCACCCCAGACAAGCATGTTGCGTCGACCGACCGAGTCGAAGAGTGTCATGCCGATTAGAACACCGGCCCAGGCGACGACTGCGGAGGCGATGTTGTATTGAAACCCTTTTGAGCCGAGGCCGACGGTCTGGTAGAAGCGGGGAGAGTCTGGAGTGGTATATATACATTAGATACGTGTTGCTTGCTAAATTCAAGGTCTGATGTCGACTTACACTGGGATACAAAGCCCTGGCCAGTGAACTGCTGGAGGATGAAAACTACCATCGCGATCTCGGTTCGCCTGAGATTCGTCTCCCTCTGTCCATTTGTTACTCGAGACTGCTCGTCCGTCCAAATGTAGATTATGGACTTACAAATAAATCGAGCCAAGGCTCCTTCTCGACCTTGGTGTGAAGAGCTTCCTCGATAGCGTCTACCTCCTCCTGGCACTTTCCAGCAGCTGCCCCGGGGTCAGTCGTCCGCTACGGCGCTCATTCCGTCATCCGAACTTACCGACGTCCTCCTTCGGTCGTACCCGCTCCAGTGAATTAACGGCGTCCGCTTTGCGCCCTTTGCTAATCAGCCAACGCGGGCCGGACGCTCTCAAGGTTAGCAGAGGTCAGGCGACTAGTAAATCTGGGGTATTTACGCATGATGAACGGTGCTAGCAGGACGATGGCAGGGACGACTGCCTGTATCGCTACGGGAATGATCCAGCTGGAAGTCCAATTAGTCGAGTTGACCAAGCGTGTCCACCTATCTTTGGTACCTTACCCACTATCTTCCGTGGACTTGGAAAACCTGTTATTGACTCCTGCAGCCATAATTTGCCCATGCTGGATGAAGAGCTGGATAGAGCCCACGACAGCGCCGCGCATACCCGCAGGTACGATCTCTGACTGGTACGTCCTATCATGGCACCAGTGTCAGCACCACTTTTCCATTGGAATGATGATGCCGTCGCTTACGTAGAGGTATTTTCTGCTAGCCCGACACTATAATAGACGATGACTCTCCCAACCACGAACTGCGCGACCGAGTGTGCCGTACACTCGGTAATGATGCCGATGAAGCTGATAGTGCAGAGAACCCAGATCGTGTATCTATGGCCGATGGACTCCAGGTACAAGGGGCACGTCTAAATTGAGTGCTGTAAGTATCACGAAAAAATTCCAGGCTAAGGGATGTACCGAACCACATACCAGCGTGCCTAGAAACTTTCCTGCAAAGCCGACCGAGCTCATGAACGATGCCCTTGATCCAGAAAGCTTGTAAGTCCCGTTTTGTTGGGGGGTACCGAATTTCCTTGCGAAAGCTGGGATGCTTTGTACTCCCGCGAAACTTGTGGTGTCGAAGCCGAAGAGCATGTTCAACATGGCAGTGATGAAACAGCATGCGAACAGCGGCCCTGTCATCTTTCGCATGATGGCCTGAAGGCCTGAGAAGGGCGATATCTTCTTCATCTTCTTAGCAGTGGCGATGTGGCGTTTTCAATATAGTGAACGATTGCGATCTGGGTTGTGAGTTTATATCGAAGGATACGGAGCCGAACGTATATGGGACTACCTTGGCGAGAGCGACGTGGACCGGGAAATTGGGATTTTCGGCTTCGAAATTAATTCGTAGAAAGGGCCATGGAAGGGGTGTGAGAATTGAGATCTTGAGATACCGTAGCAGAGCCGACAGACTGGCACATGTGGCGACGTTTATGTTAGAGTCAGGAGCCATCGTCCTTGTTTCCGGTCGCTCGCACCATGTGCCGCTCAAAGCACGTCAGCGAAGACATATGCGCGCGAGAACTGAGTCGTGCAGGCTAGACTGGTTCATAATGATTCTGGTCGTCGTGCTAGACGTGGGATACGAACAGGAAAAGCGTATTCCACCGTTTTGGACCCTGGGTCAGTACGCAATCAGGGAATGGTTACTCCGCATTACCCCACAGTTAGGTTGGGATTCGGAGATGGAGGCGAGCTACGCGAGCAACGCCCTTGATACCCCTGTTACTACAGGGCGTCAGCTGCGCTTGGGTGGGGCTTCATTTGGGCCTCGGGGTCTCAGAGGCTAGAGGGATACCTTCAGTTACTTGCTCTTGCTAGAGGGCTCCAAGGGCGTCTCGTCGGAGCTCGTGCAGAACTCGGAGTATAACCGAATTACGCGACCACTGTACGGTAGGCGATGTTATAGTCCCTGTAGCGAATTAAATACAGGTGAAGTCGTCTCCTGACTGTCGTAGAGTACAGGAGTGGGTGGGCGTCCGCGGTAGCAATCTCCTTATTGCATCCCGAGAGACTTCAGTGGGGCGCTGATCGGAAGGACTCTGCATAGTCGAGTACAAAAGCAGGACGTGTTTCGTGTCCTCTTGTACCCGGTTGCATTCGCGAAACTATAGTGAACATGGCACCCAGTTCGCGCCCGAACTTTCTCGTCATTCTTGCTGATGGTAAGACCGTGATCCACTCATTCGTAATTGTGTAACTTTCTAATGGTTGCGTACTAGATCTAGGATATAGCGACATTGGCTGTTTCGGTAGCGAAATTCGAACACCGAACCTTGATGAACTTGCTCGCCATGGCGCACGTTTCTCCGACTGTGGGCGGTCCAATCCTCATCTAGCAGATTAGTCGACTGATTCCTACCCGTAGACCACACTGCCAGCGCGTGTAGCCCAACCCGAGCGATGCTCCTGAGCGGGACGGACAACCATATCGCCGGCGTCGGTGTGATGAGCGAGCAAAAGGGCCGAGATCCTGACCGATGGAACGTACCGGGTCATGAAGGTTTTCTAAAGTATGTTCCTTCCCAACTTGCCGTCTGCATCGTACCTTGAAGCACTCTAGGTAACCCGTCCGCTAGCCACGATGTCGCGGCTCTTTCCGAAATCCTGCAAGACGACGGTTATCACACGCTCATCAGCGGCAAGTGGCACCTGGGATTGCGACCCGAGAATAACCCTGCTGCGCGGGGTTTCGACCGTTCGTTCGCGCTCCTCCCGGGCACGTCCAACCACTATGCCTGGGAACCTCAATTCGATGAGGACTTCAATTTCTTCGTGCGGATCCCGCCCCTTTACACAGAGGATGGGAAGAAATACGAGGTCGAGCCCAATACAGCCCACGACAAAGCCGGTTTCTTTACCTCGGATTTTTACACCGACAATCTGATCCGATATCTGCGTGAGCGCTCAGGGGAGAATAAGGAGAAACCGTTCTTTGCGTATTTGCCTTTCTCAGCACCTCACTGGCCGCTGCAGTGCGCTAAAGAAGATCGCGAACGATACAAAGGAATATACGATGATGGGCCGGATACGCTGCGGCTTCGGCGGCTCGAGGGGCTCAAGAAGCAGGGATTGGTACCGTCTGATGTGAAGCCGCATGATATGGTGGTCGGACCAATGAACACGGAATGGAATGACATGCCAGATTACGAGCGACTGTGCTCCGCGCGGGCGATGGAGTGCTTTGCCGGCATGGTGGATAACATTGACCAGAACGTGGGCAAGATCGTCACCTATCTGAAGGAAACAGGAGAGTTTGACAGTAAGCAGCCCGCCTTTAGAGCGCTTTCAGAAGTGATTACTTACCGGACTAGATACAGTAATTATCTTCCAAAGTGACAACGGCGCCGAGGGTGCGACTTATGAAGCGCTGCCCACTATGGGCGCTGACTTGATGCGCGTCATTAGCGCATATTATGATAACTCACTAGATAACATCGGCAACGCTACGTCCTTTGCCTGGTATGGGACACGCTGGGCACAGGCTTCGACTGCACCATCCCGCTTGTACAAGATGTACACCACGGAGGGTGGCATTAAAGTCCCCTTCCTCATCCATTACCCCAAGTTCGCCAAGGAGCGACAAGGAGGGACCATCATCAACGCTTTTTCGAGCGTGATGGATCTCTGTCCGACGTTCCTAGATCTCGCAGGTATAAAACACCCGGCGTCGGACGGTAAATCCGGGAGTTTCCGAGGGCGGGATGTAGCGCCCATGCGAGGGAAGTCCTGGGTACGTTTGTGTGAACCCAGACTATGGCGTCTTCTTCCATGGACTTTGCTAATGCCTTGCTCTAGGTGCCCTTCATGACTAGCAAAGAAGCTTCCAACTATTCCGGTGACGCCATCCACGGCGAGACTGCCATGGGCTGGGAGCTTTTCGGCCGCGCCGCCGTTCGCAAGGGCAACTGGAAGCTCGTGCACATCGAGGCTTCTATGGGAGGCCGAGAGGACGATGGTTGGCAGCTGTACGACCTGTCTAAAGATCAGGGCGAGATTGATGATTTATCGCAGTCCCGACCGGAGGTATACAAGGAGCTGCTTGGCATTTGGGAACAATATCGTAAGGAAACAGGCGTGGTCTGGGGCACGCCGATCCGATATGTGGGCGAAGAGTGGGATGGTAATGCCGAAGAGGGCATTGTCGGAGGTGACGCCATCACGCAGACACTTGCTTGGATGAAGGTCAGAAAGAATGAGACGCCGCTTTCAAAGCTGTAGAAGCGCACTGTACTCGCGTTTTCCCTAGGTTTTGCGCGGATGACGGTAGTTAGCAGAACGGAGACTCGTTTCCTGGCCCGTCCTGTGAATGGCCGAATACCGTGTCGTCCATATCAAAGCTCCATCCAGTTTCCATGAAATTCCAGTCCAGAGGATTTTGGCTCATTTGAAGATCATAAGTGCCATCTGCCCAATTAGCCGCTATCTGCAGGGCCTCTGGACTGAGCGAGTATCGATCCTGTAGCATCCCACCAAGCCCGTCCAACGAAGCTTGAGTGGTTCCTACAGTGTTCGAGTGGATTTTCTTGTCTATAGTGAGTAGCGAGGGGATCGGAATTGGTGCTTCGTTCGGATCGTGCGCTGATTCCAGATCATGTTCTGCTCTCGCCTTTTGGATAGACCCGAGAGTTCCATAAACATCAAGGGCAGGAGACTCGGCTCGCGAAGCAGGCTCCGTGAGTGGAGCAGGCATACAACTAAAAGCCACGGTTCAGTAGACGCTAGTGACGGAAATCGCTTATCCAAGGCTTACCTTTTGAGATCGTCGACATCGAGTGAATACCCATGTTTCGCCGTCAGCTCCGCTACCGCGAAAAGCTTTGACGATTTAGTGAGTGTCACCAATTCTAGGCCTTCCAATAAGCTTACCAATTTTCGTATTGGGACAGACCAAAGGGCAGTCCTCTTCGCACACTGCACAACCTTTTCCAGGCTGCTCTGTAAGCTGGGATCCTGCAACCCAACAAGTCCAATCTCTCCGTCCCATCGTTCGACGACCAGCGTCCGGATAGCAAGACAGCTGCATATAGAGACGAATGGATCGACTTCTGTTGTTATTGTATCGAAAGCCTGCGAGATGAGTGATACCAGCGTCAGAGCATGCTCGATGGCGCCTGCCCTACACCTACTGAGGAACTCAGGAGGCGGGGTCATGGAGGGGACTTCTGGTCTTGGCAGATGTGTGCCAATCCTGAATAAATCCGTGTAGGCGGCGTGGAACATGATATGAAGGGTAAAGAAGCTAATATTTGGATTCGGAATGGGTGGGCTGGGGTCCTCCTGCATAAAGGGAAGCGTTGTCGAAATGCATGAAGAGAAGACTTCGAGCTTTTGCTGCAGGTGCGAAAAACTCGAGTTGTCTTCCCAGGGTAGGCGAGAATCCTGGATTTTCAAACCGAAGACTTTGACTGCTTTCGCAAGTTGTATGATTTGTAGCCGAATGTCTGCCATCCTAATTAGATACGCAGACAGGCTGGGCATTGGGGGCTGGGCGTCGAGGGCCTCCGAAAAGTACTCGGAGCGAACTGAAAGGCCTCTCTCATATGAATATTCGTCCCCGGGTAATTTCGTCAGGATGGCTTGAGGATCAATGGCCGCATGAAGCGGCCGACTGCCGCCATGGTGCACGTCCGGTACGGATTCCATAGCGAAGCAACTCCAAATCAGCCGTCGCCGCGTCTCTATCACAGAGATGGGCAACGACACAGAATCGTCTCCTCTCCTGTCCTCCGGATCGAGATTTAGCTGCAAGGCATGGGCGAGTCGCGTAGCCAAGGCAGCGAGAAACCAAGCGCTGAGATGCGATCCTCGGTGCCATTCGAATTGCTGAAGTAGCAGTAAAGTCTGGAGGCTCATGGTCGAGATGCGGGCGAAGATATCTTGCACGACTGACTTGCGACATTCGTCTGCCCATGCGCTAGGAAAGGGCGAGCTGGGATCGACTTGTCGGAGACCGGTGGCGAGGACGATGAGCAGCAGGGGCCGCGGGATCAGGTCGTTCTGCAGCATCTTTGTGAAGGAAGGCCGATGAATGAAGGTCAAGAAGCAGAAATAATGAGGGCACGCAAAGTATGCGTCGATGAGGCTGTCACGATAGTGTCCCTGAGGGAGACTGGATTGAACATGATTATCGGGGAGGCGCGCCGACCTCGACGATGCGCCCGCATGACCGTTGCAGCGTTGGGGGAAGTTGCATGGCTCGCCGGCCTTCTCGCATTGATGGCAGAAATGGCTCTGCTCGGATACTAGGCAACGGAGTTTCTTCTGTCGGCATCTTGCGCAAGCCCTAGTGCTTCGGGAGCGAGAGGTAGCGCGCCCGTCTTCCCAAGTGCAAACGAAGTTCAGTCTGCGACAATTGCCGCATTCGTCTCGCGTCTCATCGCATTTGACCTTGAGGGTTGTGAGTGAAGGCCGAGATATGCGCACTGGGCTCACCTTTCTGTGCCGACACGTGAGACACCCGCGGCGGCTCCGTTCCTTTTTGGGCGTCGACGCGCCTACACTGGTTCTATGCATTATACGCAATCATGGGCAACGAAGCCGCGAGCATTGTTGTCGGCGCAGCCGCTATCCTAGCCGAATGTGAAAGACGATGGAAAGCCGCGCGGAATGGTGGAGGTACCTCCGGTATCGCCGGCGGGCTAGATTAGGTAAGAGCTGCTTGGACGCTTGCAGGTCAGGAGCCAGAGGCAGACACCAGGGCTCGCAGCTGGGCAGTATTATCAAGTGCTCCGCACTTCACTTTCTCGCTGTTACTGCGCAAAAGCCATCTTACCATCTTATCTGGCGAAATGCGGGAGGCCACAGCGAAGTCACGTGCTCATGAGGTCCACATCCATGCCCAGAGATATATACCTAGGTGCTAGAACGATCCAAGCCAAGTATGTACGGCGAGCACCCCGCCGCTTCCACCGGTGGAACATACAAATCGCCCTCTAAGAACCGCAAGCTCCCTCTTCTCCTGCGCCCCTCATGCTCGCAAGTCACGCATTCTGACCATCACAACAGACTTCTCCCACACCATGAACGCTTTCTTGTACTTCATCTCTCCCTCCGGGTTCCACAGCGGCGCTCCGTCTGTTGAGATAACATCGAAGTTCCAGAGCATCCGCGCAAGCACGATGCGCATCTCCATGTACGCAAGACTACCAATCGTCAGCGCCAACCACGGGTGCAAGACAGAGGCTTCGAGGACTTACTTCTTTCCAATGCAGTTCCTAGGACCCAGTGAGAATGCCTGCGTCGCCTTCTTCACATCGGAATCGTACGCCGGATCCAACCACCTCTCCGGAATAAACGCGTCTGGGTCCCGGAAATGGAGGGGATTGTGCGATGAGGCCCATGCTCCAACCGATACGGTAACGCCACCGGGCACCCAATAGCCGTCGATAGAGTCTCCACCCGGGGGCACCACGCGAGGCGGGCCTGCGGGAACCGGTGGATGTATGCGAAGGACTTCCTCAATGCAGGCGTTCAGATATGGAAGATTCACGATGGCATTGAACGTGATAGATTCTTCGTTTGCGAATGTGGACCTGATCTCCTGGGCGAGCTTCGCGTAGCACTGCGGATTCCAGATCAGTCGAGCCATGAGGCCGGAGAGGGCGGTGGCGGTTGTCTCGCTGCCGGCGATAATGAAAAGACCTGAATTGGCGATGATCTCGTCGTGCTTTAGGTCGAACTTCTCTGCCTGCTTGAGGATATACCAGATAAAGTCTCGGTGCTCGATGTTGCTAGCCTTTAGTCGCCTGCTTGGTTAGTATATCGATACGACGAGCGTTACTTCTATCGTACCATTCAACCTTCTCCCCCGTATGAGTAAGGTGGTAGTTCAGCGCATTGCCCATGCCCTGGAACCTGTTCTGTAGGAACCTTTGCAGCTAGGTGCCAGTTCCCGCGATACGTCTCGTGCCCTGTATCAAAGCTCCATCCTTGATGGTGTGGAAGAGATATGAGACCCATTCCTGGTACTCCCCTGCACCAGATGGTCAGCATGTGCTCTCTCTTCCTTGTACGACACGAGACGTACCATGCTCGAGACAGCCGAAGCTGTCACCAAAACTCAGGTCACCCATTGTGTCGAAGGTGAAGTAGCAGAACCAATCACCGATATTGAACTCCTTTCCCTCCCTAGCAAACCTGCGGAAGTTTTCGACAAACTTGCTCACATAGTCTTGAACTATTGGTTCCTGCTCCATCAGTGCTTGCATGGAAAAGGCATGACTCAACGCACGCCTCTGGCGGCCATGATCGGAATCCTCAACGGCATATTGAACAGTCGTGGTGGAACCAACTTGGACTGGTCCCGTATGAATCGGTGACTTGCGCATGTTCTGGTGTCCTTGGCGGAATCCGTAGATATCTTGGTAGGCTTGCGCCGAATTGAAGGTGAGCTCGTTGGGGCCGAGTCGAAACACAGATCCTACGAGGGTAAGCGGAGGCCGTCAAGAAGAATGATGAGCGTGCCATATTCCTCATGGTTCAATTTATTTTCGAAGGCAAATCTCCCGCGCAGGAGCGCTAGGCCAGCTGGGATCTCTGACACTGAGTTCAAGAAGGGCCCGCGAAACTTTGCAAGGGGGTGGAAGATGCGACGGTAAATGATCAGGAAGGCGATGTAGAGGGTCCACTAGCGCGTGGTGTCAGTACTGCACCAAGAGCGAACCACTGGACTGTACTTGCAATCGCAACCGCAGCTCCTACCAGCTGAAAGCCGCCTTCTTGCGTTAGACTGAAGAGTGCCATATCGTTCCCGGGGGGATAGCTGCGGCAGCTGATCCATGGCCATATTCGCTGGAGTCCACATCTTTAAGGACGTTCCGGGAAGTAGAGTTCCAGGAGGCACACGGCGTACCGGAAACTAACAAAAGCCCGGCGATCTGCGGCTAGATATTGTGGAATGCGGGGAAGCAGAGCTAGAGGTGTCGAAATCTCCAGCTGCGGATGACATAAGATGCTGGATCCGCACGAATGGGAAAAGTACATCCGGATGGCTGGTGGGGGTGAAGAGTCATCTAGCTAGATCCAATAGCTGCCGTATATTCGTATACGAAGCCGCATCCGGAAAGCGGAAAATGTTCTCCCGAAGAGCACGCAGTAATGTAGATCGTAGGGATCCAATTGCTAACCTGCCCCCTAATTGCGGTTACGCTCTAAAAGAGTAATTGTGAAGTGGACAAGCACAGGAGAGACTTGAAATACCGTGCTAGAGTTTTATTAGAGCCGCGGTTGGACTGTAGAGCGACGCTGGAAGCTCGCGGTGGATCTTATACCCTCCAAATGTACATGATGCCATGCGAAACACGTTGGAGGCTTAATCTTAGGCCAAAGCAACCCGATATTGGTGCCTCTATTGGAGCGTGACCAGCAGCTAACAACACGGAAGCGTTGCCGCGAATTCTCCATATCTCACATTGTGTCGCTGTGTATCAGGTACTCGAATTCGCCAGCTTCGCACATTTTTTAGGTGATCTTGGTCTGGCTCACCAGTAGCTCGCCGGGTCGGTTGGTAGTCAGAGCGTGCGAGCAGGGCCGGTCTTCGAGCAAGACGTTGCGATCGCATGGTGGATCAGGATGGCGAGCACCTTATCTAGGAGTTATCGTGATGACGTAGATTAGTTCCGACCTAGAACAGATCCGGTTTTCGGCGGCCTGTACAGCTTTCCAAGGTTGCGAGGTGGAGAGTGCGGTACGACGGCTGGCAACGGCACGAAAAGACACGCGCTACGTCAGGTCGCTTACTAAGTACATCAGCAGGGCGCCCCACAACCGCTCTCCTGTCACATCGCATCTCGTCCCTGCCAGCGAACAGCGCGTCGCCCTGTGCTCCTTCATTGAGCTCCCCTTGTCGTTTCGTTTAGTGAGTGTCCCTTTACAGGGCTTGAGGGTTTCTTTATGTCTGAAAAGTGCCACGCGGCAAGACCAGGGGCACGGGTGAGAGAACAGAGTCAAGAAATCATGGCGTGAAGGAGAAAGAGGTCCTTGTAACCTTTGCGTAAAGGGAAACTTCGGACTTGCTACGAAGGCGACCCCCCAAACTTGAGCGAGACCAGCGCTGTGCAACCATTGCAACGAAAACGCAGAGCGAAGACTCGGTGCCGTCGGGGAAGATTCCTAACTGTTTGAGAAAGAGGAAGGCAGGCATTACATACCGCTTTAGTAAAGATGGCTCCAGGGTGAATAAGCAGGCCACCTCCTCTTCGACTCTCGCCAGCGACCCCTTCAGTAAAATCAACAAGACAATGAATGGAGACATGAGTGAAGATATACGCAATAGAAGAGCAAGTATCGTGTGCCTAGGAGAAGGACCTTGAAGGTTCGTGCTCGATTGAAGGAGGCGCCTTGTGGAAGGGTTGATGAGCGCTGCCACGAAGACTCAGACATTGGATCGGACTCTTAACTCGCTGCACCCCTTGTCACCCTCTTCTCTCCTCCGCGTACGCGCAACGACTACCGAGCTTACAGAATCCGGTTCAGTTTTGAAATGCCAGCGATCTCCATTCTTCTCACTTAGGTTCGGGTTACACCTTGCTCGCGCTCGTTGGGGCTTTGGCTATGCCGCTCTGTGATACTCTCAGGGTGGGGAACAACACCACGCCATTAAGGTAGAACGTTCTCCTATCCCAAATCTCTCGCCGAGCATGGGCCCAGCCAGAGGAAAAGCGGCTGAGGCCGCAAACCTCCAGAATGATATTCCTGGCTGTAGCGGAAGCAGAGTATTTCGCAGACTCTAGATACAATGCGGTGACAGTGCGCCTGGACTGCCCGACCAGAGGCAAGCAGACCAGCTGCAACCAATGCATTGCCGAGGATCATAGGCGGTAGTTGGTGTTCGGGATTAGCGGCGCCGAGCTTGACTTTTCGCTGCAGAGATCGATCAAGGAATTGGCCGCAGAGTTGGACGCCGACTACCATACCGTTACCTAGCCAGCGTTAGCACAGATTGAAGACTGAACTCCAAAATACCCAAATCGAGGTAGGAAATACCAAGCAAGTCCTATCGAATTTGGTATTGTTCATCGTATGTAGACGGCAGTGATGTAATAACGACATACACAGGATTCATATTCCACACGATGCACAATCCGACTCAAAGTACAGCTCCCGACCGGCGAGCAGCGTGATCTGGCGAATGACAGGCCCTCGAAAGATCTAAATACGCCGTTTATCTACCTCATACTTAGATCTGAGTTCCGGATTCCGCGTCTGTTTGTGTAGCCTGGCTGTTTTCTTCTGCAAGGTGCGAACCCAGTAGCTCTCCCTATAGAGTAGCAGGAATAGCAACTGCAGCGGCGACACAATAATAACTGTGAGCCAATGTGTCCACCTCCACCGCTTGGCTTTCGGAGACAAGTCCCACATCCGTGGGTCCCAGAACAGGCGCGATGAATGGAATCACGCTCATTATACCTAGCGCTCTGTCGAGCTCTTCTCCATAAAATATGTCGCCGACGAAACACAGGTTGACGACAGTAGACGCAACCGCTCCTCGATTGCTTTTCGAATATAGGCTGTGTTGGGCCTTTATTTTCGTGTATTTTGTAGGTAGTACGCGTCCCGCCACGAAATCTGGACCACACAGACGTTGCCAACGAGGTTGAAGCACCTAAGTAAGGAAGAAAATCATGGAGAGCTCGAGATACATGTACATGGGATATTTGCGATAACAGATTTTATCTTCCTCGGAGAGAACGTCACATCATGCGCCACAGTAAATATTGCGGCCCACTGCGGCGAAGCAAAAGATTGTGTTCACAATTGCTTAGTTAAGTAGTGTTTACTCTGACCACGGTGATCCAGGATGATCCTCTTTTCCTCTTTTCTGCCAGTAGTGCATGCATTCTGCCTGCGCGCGACGTACGAGTTTTTGGCCTGAGGGTATCGTTACACACTACTGCAACGTCAATGAAGGGTGGACCAGATCCAACCTTCTTCCATGCGTTTCTCCCTACATATGGGCAGGCCGAGATTCCTTCCCCTCTACACATCATACCGAGCATTCCTGTTCATATGCCGGATCTTCTCGCCATACTACAGCGCCGTTAGTCTAAATCATATCTTCTATACTGCACCAAGACTTACGCGATAAAACAAGAACGGCATCGGGATGAAGCACACCGCGATTCCGCCGAGCAGTGAGTTACCCCCATCGATACCAACCCGACGAAAGAGCGGGCGTGCCTAGAGAAGACGTCGTTAGCCCACCAGAGCACCCAAAAGAAATCCCCTTCTCAACCACTTACAAAAAGCGGAAACACCGCCCCGAACGATGCGCGAAACAGCGCATTCCCCGCGAAAATAGACGCCGCGCTCTCCGGATACGCGATCCCCAGATAGTTGAACACGGAATTGAACAGCGTGATCGAGCCTACTGTGAAAAAGCCCGATCCAATTACCGGCATAATCCAATGCATATCCGCTCTAGCCGACCAACCGTACCAGAACAGACATACCGGCAGCGCGAAACAGCCCACGAACATCGGTGGGAGTACCATTTCAGGCTTGAAGTTGGGCTTTGTGAGGCGCGGCGCGATGCGGTGCTTGATCCAGAGCAGGAAGAACGGGACTGTGATGAGCCCGCCGACGAGGATGCCGAGGAAGACGAGACCTTGCTGGCCGACGGAGAAGTGGTAGATGTTGCCGAATACAAAGGGGAAGGACTCGAACCAGGTAAAGAGGATGCCGTAGAGGAGGCCTGTGTAGAGATCCATGAGGAAGACGATGGGCTTAGAGAAGGCGAGGGTGAAAGCACGCGCGAGGAGCATGAAGTGGTCTTTCGCGGTGTGGTTGCTGGCGTCGATTTCGGACTGGCTTTTTAGTCGCTGGTTGCCAGTGGCCTTACGCCGTCTCTGCGCGCGCTTGTATAGGATGTTTGCCGCGCTGGTCTCGGGCAGCAGGAAGAACATGACGATCAACACGATCGAGCACATCCACGTGAATATCCATATCGTCCAGCGCCAGCCCTTCGCTGGCGCAACGAATCCGCCGACGATGGGCCCGAACACGGGGCCGAGGTACCCCAGGCTTGCCCAGATGCTTATAGCGTAGATGGCTTGCGTGGGTGCGTATATATCCACGATGGTGCCGCCCCCGGTAGCCAGACACGGACTCCCACAGAAGCCAGTCAAGAAGCGAAAGACGAGAAATACGGGCATGTCTGCGGCGAAGCCGACGGGCAGCTGTAGCAGGACAAAAGAAAGGAGCGTATAGATGAAGATGCGGCTGCGGCCGAGCATGGGCATGTCAGAGAGCGGGGACCAGAGCATGGGGCCGAAGCCGTAGCCACTAATTGCAAAAGAGGCAAACACATTAGCAGTTGGGATTGAGGAGGAGCAAAGGGGCGATCGGGGTGGCCTACAGCGTGAACAATGAGAGACCCAGTGTTGCGACAGTAACGCTGACGCCGAATTCTTGCATGATGTCGGCTTCGCCAGGGACGTAGATGGAGCTTGCGATGTAGACAGCAAAGTTGAGGATGCACATTTGGAAAACGATGATAAGTTTCCAGGTACGGGGCCAGTTGCGCGGGTTCTGGGGTCGAGGTGTTAGGGCGCTAGGTGGCGCGCTGTTGTAGTAGAATCACGTACTTCAGGGTCGCCTGGACCGTACCAGTCTACCAGGTGGATATCTTGGCCGGCTTCGGGAATGCGATGGTCCAAAGCAGCGTGTAGCAAGCCGTTCCCTTTTGAAGAATGGGTGGTTTCGTCTCCTGGTGGTTTACGTGGATCGTTTGTGTCTCGTTGGAGGGCCCTCTTCCAGGGGGAAGAACCAATCTCGTCTGGATATTTAAAGAGCTTGTTCCGTGACAGAAGCCGTACAAACTGGCCGAAGAGCGTTGTGCGGAACTGTGTGGCCATGTTGAGAGCAGGAAGAATGGTATACTACTGTGTGTGAGAGAACGGCGAAGCGACCAGACCTACTTAAAAAAGGAAGAGAATCCAAGTGGCTTATCCCTTTTCCTCATCGTCCTGGTTAGTATTTGGTCTCGATGGATATGGAGAAAGTACGGATAAGCCAAAGGGTAAGCCACTGTTCGGAATTTGCGTGCACCTAGGGCCGTTTGGGTCTAATCCCGCTAAATCCGAAAGAGCTATGCATTCTGTATCCTCCGCCTCCTCACTTCGATGTACGCCGTCGGAGGCACCATATTCCGGCCCACCCACATCGACCTTGGCCTCTCTGCCAAGTGCTTGACATCATAGTTGATGAGTAGATGCCCAAACATCATCTTCAGCTCATGTGCGACGAAGAAGCGACCCGGACTGGCTCTCGTTAGCACGGATTCATGAAAGAGCTGGGGGTAACTTACCATGCATGCCTTCCGTGCCCAAACGCGAGATGCCTATCACTTGTCGTTACCAATCCATTCTGCTTCATCTTCAACGCGTCCACCTTCTCTTTCTCCTCTGGGTTCATAGTCTCGTACTCCTCCCTGGCTCTCGAGTATCGAAACGCATCGTACTCGTCCGGTCGATCATGGATATCGCCATCACCCGCCACCGGTGTCCACGGACATGATAGGAGCGTCCCGTACTCGAAATGCAGGCCCTCCGGGCTGGTGATCCCTTCCTTGGCCATGACCTTCCTCTGCACAAACGTCAGTGCGAAGGCAGAGTGGCGCTGAGATTCGCGAATCGCGGAGTCCATCCTATACATGCGCGCCAATCCCTGCTTCGTCCACTTGCCGCCTTCCTCTTTCCAGATCCGTTCCGCCTCTTGCCTCAAGCCTTCAACGACGCTCGGGTCCGTACTCAGGATATCGAGTAGAACTGCGTGTCCAGTCATGGCAGTCGTGTGGATGCTTGCGAAATTGATGGGCATGATCCTGATAGCGATTCTGCCCGGATCCAGCTCATCTCGCCTCCCCTCGGCCATGGCAGTCCGGATACTCCACGTGACGAAGTCATTCGGCTCCTTCCACTCGTTGTATGCCGGTTCGCCTGCGTCCTTCTTCTTGATATCCTCTAGGCGCTCCTTGATCAGCGGCAGACTCCATTTCCGCGTCCTCCAGTAGTGGTACTTGGGCGCCAGTCCGGCAACAGTGCCAACAACCGGATGCAGCACCCTCGGGACAAGGGCGAATATGAAGAAGCCGCGGATCACATCCATGGTAAAGGCCAGCATGTTATCCAGGAAGTCCTGGTTCCTGCACAGCGGCTCGCCGACGAGCATGCGGTTCGTGGCCTTGGGAATCAGGCGCATCATGAAGCCCTCCAGCAGATTGATCTTCTTGAAAGCGCGCGCATCGGACCCGCACAGCTCGTCGACGCCGCGACACAGCTCGTCGTCCAGCTCGGGAATGACGGCGTTCAGGTTGCGGGCCAAGTTCTTGTGCACGACGTGCTCGTGGTACGGATCCTTCAGAATGATGGGCTTCACAAACGAATACTCGCCGTGCAAGATGTCGTAGTGGGCCGCGCTGGTGCTGAGCACTGCGTCGGGCTGGTCGAGCATCCAGCTCATCTGCGACCGTGGGATGACCGTCTCTGCGGGCGCGCCCAGCATGGACGGCAGGACGAAGGTCTTGCCGTGCTTGCTGTATTTCTCATAGCCTTCCTGCAGCCAGCGCTTGCTGCTGGTGAAGCCAGCGAAGCAGTTTCTGAGCGCGGCCGCCCAGCCCTTACCGTGGCCAACCCACGGGATCGCAGCGGGGTAGCGTGGCGCGCGGAGGAAGCCGAGGAGGACGGCGAGGGCGAAGTAGGCGATGAGCAACACGATGATGCCGCCGAATGTGACGTGCTGGGCGACGATGCTGGCCTCCTCGCGTGCCATGTTGTGGCCTGCTGTGCTGTGCCGGTTGTGCTGGATGTTCGCTGGTGAGGTACATGCCGCCTCCCCCGCCGGCGCGAATAAGCCGGTGCACAGATACAGAGCCAACACGCGCTGGATGATTAGCCCGCACCGCGTCAGCACGCCGTTTTCTTATGGCAAAGGTGGCGATTCCATTTGACAAGAAGGGGGCCTTGCCCCAGATCGATCCATGGAGGGCCGCGGAAAGAAGGAGGCAGCTTTTTACTGTAAGGACCTTGGAACGTCGAGGCTCTGGTCATGTGCGGCATCACTCCTCCGCGGAATCTGGCTCGTCCAGCATGGACAGAAGAAGGGCGAAGTGGGAGCTCTCGGGGGCTTGGATCGTCCACGCCAAGGAGGGCGCTGCATCTGAAACCCATCTCCCACACTGCCAGCGTCAAGAGCAAAACGTGCGCAATGGCCCCTTTGCGACCCATCCAAACGTCAAATCCTGCGACAGGTAGCCCCCCGTCTACCGGGTGGACGGATAGGTTGGGCAGAGGTTCGCAGAATTGTTCATCGTGAGCGACTGCTGGCAACCATGGACTCTGCCACACCGCCATCGCAGGTACTGTTAAGTTGTCTACGGAGGTACTCCGTGAACGTTAAAGGCAGCCCTTGAAGCCGTCTGATCCGGCGGCTGGAGAGTCTTCCAGCGCGAGGCAACTAAAGGCGGTGCAAGGGCCCAAAGACGTTTGGTGTTTGACTAACAATCACCTGCAGCTGTCACCTCGTGCATTTCTCGGCTACTTTTCCGAATACAGCATGCATTCAGACCACAAATCGCATCCACGCGAGCTTGAGGCTAGCATTACTTGGGAACGGGTGCATTCGAGGGTGTTCGTCACCCGCAGCTGATGAACTCTGCGTTTGTGATTGCCTTGCGCGCTGCAGCACCACTGTCTGATCGTTTCACTAGTTATACTGGCGACGCTATTAAGGGTGAGAGGCGTAGATAGACGCGCCGTCGCCATGGCATGGTCTGGTTGTCGATACACCACAGTACAAAGCCGCGCGATACATCTCTCCAACAAGGACCGACCCTCTACATTATCAATAGACCCCTCGTACACGTCTCCAGCCTGCAATCGTTGTGAATATCTCAACAACTCGGCGAAATTGAGCTCTTGACCGTATGGACAACAGTGGAGCTCCGAGCCTCCCCAAGTTCACGCCTGGCGATGAACAGGCGCGGCAAGATGCCATGGTGGGCATCTCAGTCGCCATGACACTCATTGGCAGTAAGCTTCAGCCCACTATGCTCTCCCGTCAAGTCGCTCACAGTCAGCAGTGGCGTGCGTCGGGCTGCGCATATACACACGTGCCTTCATTGTCCGCAACATAGGCCCCGAAGACTGGACCATGATCTCAGCTGCAGTGCGTAGACGGCCGTTCGCCGTTCGCCTCGCTAACTCATTCAGGTCTTGACGATAGTCTTTCTGATCGAGCTGCTGGTCAGTGCCAGAGCGTACGGAATCGGGTTCAGTGGCTTCTCCATCACGCCTGCGCAGATGGAGAATAGCATCAAGGTATGCCACTACTTCCTTTGACGAAGTGCCAGCTCACGCGTCTACAGATGGGGCTCGCCGTCATTGTGGTGTATAAGTCCATTGTGACCCTCATCAAGGCGTCCATTCTCATGATCTATCTCCGACTTTGTACGTTGACCCTCTCAATCCTCTCGCATAAGACTAATCAAACACGCCGCAGCGGTTACGAAGACGTTCGAGCGGCTCTGCAAAGGCAGCATCTATCTGCTCTTCACCTACCAGTTCATCGTCATAATTGTCGTACCCGCGCAGTGCACTCCTCTTAGAAAACTGTGGGATTTCACAGGTCAAGTCCAAGGCCGATGCATCAACACGACCACCTTCTATTATAGTATGTCCCGTTAAATCTCTCTCACTCATCATCGAATAACCTCCACTAGTTACATCCATCTTCCATATTCTCATGGATGTCTGGATTCTCGCTCTCCCTTACAAGCTCATCCTCTCAATCCCGCGCCCGACCCGTGAAAAGATGGCCGTCTTCATCGTCTTCGGTCTCGGCCTCTTCAGCACCATCTGCGCCATCGTCCGATTCCGGTACCTCGTACTTGTCACGCACTCCAAGGATCCTTTCTACGATTCCCTACCCATTAATACGTGGTCTGTTATCGAGGTTAACGTCGGTATCGTCTGCGCTTCACTGCCGACGCTTCGGCCGCTCTTCTCCAAGGCGCAACGAGACCGTACGAGATACGCCTTGAACTTCAGCCAGAAGCAGGGCCAGGGCAGCAAGAGCGGCGCGATACTACATGCGAAGGCGATATCCATCTCTTCGTTTTCGCTCAGGAGCGGAAAGACGTCGCCATTTGGCGAGGGAATCGAGATGGACGTCGAGCGCCCGCCGCCGGTGCCGCCTAAGGATACGAAGGCTGCGCCTTGGGTTACTTCTCCAGCTCCGTCGTATCGATAAGTTTGAACGGTGCTCGCTTGGCAGTTTGATCGACATAATATCCTGGTACCGACGACCGCCGGTCTCTAGAATGTGCAACCCCGCGCGTGGTGCGACTTATTGGTCTTCATCGACAACAGACGAGGTTGGCTGAAGTGAATAACTCAGCTGCCTTGCTAAGCGGATTTGGCAGTTAGCACCACAGACTGCAACCGTTACCTTCATGACAAAATGGCCTGTAGTCACTCGAACCACAGGAAACGGTTAAGCAACGACATACTGGATGACAGAACGTGGGTCGCGATTGTAAAGGGACTTACGGGCGGCAAGGTTAGGCGTAGGTACAGACATCTGTGGCCTCTACCAAGCAATGCTGACCTTGTTTATTGGGGATCGCTGGTGCTCCGGTCGCTTGACCTGAATGCCATTGTTTTTGTGTAATCGTTAGGCAGCGAGGACCAGGAAGGAAACTAAGGACACTGACGATGTCAACAGTACTTGCTGGGGGTGGAACGGCACGAAAGGGTTTTCTACGGGTTACTGCCCTCAAAATCCCTCTGTGAATGCGACCTAGATGCGATTAGGCGAAATGAAAGCTCTCTACTAGCCTACAGTTGGTCAAGATTATCGCTTCTACTCTAGGGAACAAACCGCTTCGCTCGTCTCGCTTGCCTTGCTCTGTCGTGTCAGCGGTCTCATGTCTTGTCTGCCACCTCCTCTGCCATATCTGCCATCTTTTCCATCTTGTCTGCTCCTTTGTCTTGTCTTCTTTTACAGCGCTTGAAGGTGCCCAACTCCACTTTCACTTCCTCAGCCACGATCTCGTAGCATTCACGGGTCTCTTCCTTGTCCGCTACGATTAGGTCGCGAAGCTAAGCGATAGGGAGGCCTGACGAGGAACTACGCCTCCGCAACGTCCTCAACTCTTTGACCCATCTACCAACGCCCTCTCCACCCATTCCATTCTGACAGCCCGCACACTTCGGCCTTGCTCCCAAAACGCCACCCCTTTACCAACCAGACCCGTCCACAAAATGCCCTCCCTGCCCCTCCTCCGGCACGTCCCCCCCTCTCCTCCTCGCAACAACTACCACCTTCGGCGGCTTCATCCCGCTCTTCAACGCGCCCCTCGCCATGCGCGAATTTGGGCTGCCTGACCGCTTCACCGCCTCTCCGCTCGCGCAGTCGGTCTTCGTCCTTAGCTCGGCGCGCATCTCGGCCATTGGTATGATGTTATTTGCTTTCTATGCGAAAAGAGAGTACAGGGCTATGGATACGGTGCTCTAAGTTATGGGAAGTTGGGTGGGGGCCGTGGATGGATGGGTGTGTTGGAGGGAGGGTGTACCGGGAAAGGCGGCTTTCAGGGCGGCTTGTGGGGCGGCCGTTGCGGGATGGGTGGATGGGAATGACGGAGGTAGGTTTTTCATTATTTCTTAAAGATTGCGACGGTACAGGGCATAGTGCTGAAATTAGAAGCAGGGATGAACAGGCAGAGCTCGACTCTTGCTGGTGGACGTACAAGTATGTCACGTGACATGGGTGTAACCTTTCCAAGGTCAGGAGAATTAATGCACATTTCTTGTTTGCGAAACACTTCCACCGGTGCGCCCTTCCTTATGCCCACGCGACCGCGTATGAGCCCGTCAAGCTCGCTATCTTGCGTTTCACGGAGCTACTAAACTGTGAGTATGGGGAAGGGGCGTGGTCGCGATTGGTAGGATGGAGCTTGCGACGGGAATGCCGGAAATGTATCATGATGATACGCGGGAGCGGGCGGGGATGCGAAGGGTAAGGGCTTTATGTAACTCTTCAAGTCGAGCTCTCCATCTCGGAGTAAGCTAACGGCTGGATGTCAGCTGAGTATATGGAGTATGAAGCGCGTAACAAGAACGCGACAAGACAGGGCAGGATCCATTCCCCTCTACAGCCTGTTGCGAGTGAGGCAGCGTCGACGGCGGAGGCAGCAGCACCGAGAAGGAGAATTAAAATCCGCTTCCAAGGCAGTGAACAGGCCGTCCGATGAGCGTTGACGCGTAGTCCTTTTCTATTCCCGATGGGTGCTAGCAGCGTTGCAGTTTGAGTACTGTAGCGTCAACCTCCTCCTCTCGCGCCACTCACGAACAGGCAGCTCGTCCGCCCCACCCGTCCACCATTCGCCATCAACCGCCTTATGCGAGCTGGGGTAGCGATCCTTCGTAGCTCCAAGGCGAGGTAGAGGGCAAGGGATTAATCCCGCTAGCGCCCCGCCAAATTGCTGCCAGCGCGACGTCGGTGGCAGAAAAGATGCTGCGGTAGTGGCAGAACCGCCGGGCTGGAATGGCGGCGTGGCTCGTATATTAGGAAGGTTTGCGGCGGCTGTGGAGCGAGTTCTGAGTACACTCTCCTGGAGGATACCATGTGGAAGACCTGACCGAGCGCCGAAGGGGCCTGAAACGAAAGAGACGATCGACAACCCCAGCGGATTGCGCAACCCTCGCAGCCTCCTCTTACGGTACCCATTTCCGCATGTATCTGAAGGGCCACCGCTATGTGCGATCGGCCGTCAGCAGCGCAATGCAGCCGAATTACTCGCTCTTCAGAGGCGTCGAGATCACGGCGCTGGCGCTGGCGCTGCTGTTCGTCCTCGGCCGCCTGGCAAACAAGGGGAGGAAGCGGAGTCTCTCTTTCGTGCGTGCACCTCACAAACTCAATGCATACCAAGCCAGGGCACTGGCTGAACGGAACAGGAAGATGCGATCCTGGTCATTGCAGCCACCCTCACCGTCACCGACACGGTGCTCGTGCTGCGACTCTTTGAATACGGCTATGGCAGACTGGAAGACCAAATACCCGCTGCGAACAAGATACCGATTGGAAAACTCAGCATGGCCATATTCACCACCTTTCCGCTGTGCTACTCGCTGATTCGCATTTCGATTGTTTTGACCTACTTGAGGCTGTTCCCGGCGCAGACGAATAAGTGGTTCTGCTATGCGTTGTTTGCCGCGCAGACCATTTATGCGCTTTGGGCGGGGCTTATGACGCTTTTGCAGTGCAAGCAAGTCCTCCCGGTACGGAGTGAGACGAGAGGAGTCGAAGCTGACAAGTGCGATAGGCCGGTCAAAGGATACTGGCTCGCGGATATCGAGAAATCATGCATCGACCCGAAGAAGCAGGACATGGCCATCTTGGTTCTAAATAGCGTCTTCGATATTATCGTGTACACGTGGCCAGCGCACTACCTGTACAAACTGAACCTCCCCGCCAAGAGCCGAGCTGGGTTGATTGCGCTCTTCAGCATTGGAATAGTGTAAGCAACGCACAGTCATGAGCCGACCCTGGCGCTGACCCATGGCTAGCAACATCTCGCTCAGTTTCACGCGCCTGAGTCTGCTGATCTCCATGTACGCGACCAAGGAGTGGACAAAGTACGGTATTTGGGGATGCATGTGTATCGTGCTCGAAGCCAAGTCAGTCTCCCCCTCTGCCCCAGGCGGCTTTGTGGACCAGTCCGCTGAGAGAGAGTGCCAGTGTTGGGGTCATGTGCGCCTGCCTGCCGTACCTGAAGTTCCTGTACGACTTCGTAAACAACCACATCGTCACCCGCATCGCCGAGTCCTTCCACTCGCGCTCGCGAACACGCACGCGGACAAAGACGAAGTCGAAACTCTCGGACCCGAACCATGAGCATCCATTCCAGGAGCTGGGCGAAGGGTCCGGAATACACCGCAAGACAGACATCACAGTATCGACGGTCGACGATGAGCGCCCTGCAGGGGTGCCCAAGGGCTATGTGCGGAACGAGGTGGTGCGGAACGACATCAGACGGCACGAGAACGACTTCGAGAGGAGACAAAGGGAGACGGGGCAGCAGAGCCGAAGCGGCGAGAGTGTGCTGCTCGAGTAGTGTCTGTACTCCGGATGTAACGCCAGCAGCACGGCTCGGCACAACCGGGACCCCGCCCGTGGCGCCACCGCATCCCTCGGCTCCAGCCACACGCGCGGCGCTATGTCCAAAACCCGCACGCCGCGAAATTGGCCACTGGATGGCCACTGGATGGCCACTGGATCTTCGCTCTCGTCAGACCTCTCGCCCTCCTCAGGTATAATACGAGCACCGCCGCCAGCATGGCGTGCCCGCCGCGTCTCGCAATACTAATTGCACACTGCCATGCTCTGGCAACGCGTCGTTTGCGCTGCTGGCGCCATCGCCGGGCTTGCGGCGGCCGGATATGCTGACCATGACTGGGACGTCATCGTCGTCGGTAGGTCATCTGCGCGCACCAGCTGTGTGCACGTGTATTGAGCGTCTCCAGGAGCCGGGCCCGCGGGCATCGTGGTTGCGGACCGCATGAGCGCCGCCGGGAAGAAGACGCTTCTTCTCGAGCAGGGCGGGCCCTCCTACTACACCACCGGCGGACGCGCACGACCCGGCTGGCTCAACGGCACCGACCTGAGCCGCGTCGACGTCCCAGGATTGTACAAGGCCATCTTCACGACCCAAGACAACCTCACCTGTCCGGCCGACGTCGTGAATTCCTTCACTGGGTGCACGCTGGGAGGATGCACGGCCATCAACGCGGGCTTGTTCTTCCAGCCTCCGGCCTCGGATTTCGATCTGTATTTCCCCGAGGGATGGAAAAGCGCAGACATGCAGAGCGCCATTGCGAAGGTGCGCGCCAAACAGCCGTTTACGGATCTGCCGTCTCGGGACGGGAAAAGGTACCTGCAGTCTGGCTATGAGGTTGCCAAGGACTGGCTCGTGGACGGCGCGCACTACGATGAGCTCCGGCTCAACGACAAGCCGGATCGTAAAAGCAAGGCGTTTGGACACCCAGAGTTTAACTACGAGGGCGGTCAGAGGAGCGGCCCTGTCAAGACGTATCTGCAGTCTGCGCTCGACCGGCCAAACTTCACGCTCGTGACCGGCGCGCGAGTCACGCGGGTGGCTCGGGAGGGCGAGACCGCAAAGGGCGTTGACGTGATCATCAACGGCACCGAGATGACCTTGACTATGGCTGCCAGCGGCCGGGTCGTTCTGAGCGGCGGCGCGCTCTTCAGCCCATCCCTCCTGATGCACTCCGGCATCGGCGATCCAGAGGTCCTGACCAACCTCTCCTCATCCGGTCTGCTGATCCTCGAGCCCTCAGACTGGATAAACAACACGGCCGTCGGCGACAAGCTCTTCGACAACCCAAACACCTTCATCGAGCTCCAATCCCCCAACGTCACCTCCTACACCTATAGCTACGACGACCCGCCGACCGCCGATCGCGACCTGTACCTCAACGAGCGCTCAGGACCCTACTCTTTCGCCTCAGAAACCAGCGCATTCTGGGACTTTATCGAGCAAGGCGACGACACAGTCGGCTGCCAAGGCACCATTGACTCTTCCGGCGCCATCGACTTCACCGACAACCACACCATAACGCTGAACGTCTACGGCACATCCGGTCTGCGATCCTTCGGTAAAGTCGTCCTCGACTCCAACGGCCTCCCTGGCGCAACCTCCGGCTTCTTCTACAACGACACACGCGACGCCGAAGCCGTCGGCACCTTCATCTACAACATCTTCCAGGCGCTGCCCACGTCCCTCACGCCGCTCAACATCGCGCGAAACTCGACGAGAGAGGAGCTGATCAGCTGGGTAAGCACGCCGAGCAGCTATACGGGCGGGAACGTGCTGCACTGGAGTAGCAGTTGTCGGCTGGAGGAGTGCGTGGATACAGATACGAAGGTGATTGGGATGGAGAATTTGTTTGTAGTGGATGCGAGTATTGTGATGCCGTTGACGACGAACCCCGTGTTTGGGATCATGATTACTGCGGAGAGGGCGGTGGAGAGGATTTTGGACCTAGATTAGGGAGCGCTTTGCGTATATCTACGCTTCTGAGAAGAATAGACTTTTAATGTGAATATTTGAATTCCACAACCCACGGAGAGCAACTTGAAACGGGCGGGTACCAAGCAAACTGTAAGTATCCCCTAGATGTCCACCAATTTTATTTTTTTTCACGTATATCGCGGAACTCTAACCAGGTCCCCAACTCCCCATTCAACGCCGCCGCGCAGATCTGCCGCTCGCGCCTGTCGGCAAATCACACAACCCCATTAACCGGCCGCAATTCTTAATCCACTCATTAACCATCTTGGCCGCTATCATCCACAAATACACTCTCCATATTAAATGAAGACCAAGATCCCCGGTGCAAGCGTTTTGCAACCTTTGCGTAAACCAGTGGGGCTGCAGGGGAGCATGGAAGGCGAATTAATCTAGGTTGGACAACCTCACAATCCACCAGACGGCTTGAACCTAATCTCGGATATTAGGAGATGGAGAAGTGACGGAAATGGGCCTTGGAAGTGGCGGATGGGCGGTAGGAGCTAGCTTAGAAGAAACCGGGTGGTGGATATATGAAGGCTGTGGACGTACCTCTTCTAGAACCTCACCTTCACCTCTTAGGGACCTATTTACAACGAACCGGTAACATGCGCCTCGCAACTCTCCTCCCTCTCCTCCTCGCCCCACTAGGAGCTCTTGCTGCCCCAGCTGCGACGCCCATCGACCTCGCCGTGCGTTACTCCCTCGATTCTCGCCAGGCGCGTCCTCCGAAGCCTGAGCCGTGTGAACGTATGACCCCAGCACCCAACGCGACGGAGACCAAGGCGCGTTTTGACAAGTTCGCAAACGCATTTATCTACACGAAGAACATCACCGAGGCGTTCTCGTATATTACGAAGGAATATATTGCACGTCCTAGCCTCTCCTCTGAATATGATGAACGGCCACTAACATCGGATAGAATCACAACCCCGCGGCACAAAACGGCTTCGACTCTGCTTGGAACATCCTCTCGCCCATCTGGGGTTCGCAAAACATCACGCCGCTGCGGACGACGTTCAATGGCACGAGTAACATGGGATGGTTGAACTATCGGTCTGGCAGCTTTGGCGAGGTTGTGGATCGGTATCGGTGGGAGGGGGGCTGTATTGCTGAGCATGTAAGTGTTCCCAGCTTGCGGAAAGAAGGCGTGGGCTAACAGTGAATAGTGGGACCAGGGAGAGAAGTATCCGACGTCGACGTAGGCGATGGAAGGGAAATTGGGAAAACGCAGACGTGCGTACCAGGCACCGGCCAAGGTGAGACTGTATATACCGGAATGAATGTAAGATGTAGCAATTGGAGCGCGATGCCTGCAGCAAAGCCGTAGTTACCCTTAGTGCACAACCCCCCTTCTATTTTGCGTCATCAGGGTATGGCTAAGTGAGCTACGCCTGACGCATTCTCCTTAACTGTCTTTCACCTAGTTCTTCCCACCGGTCATCGATCAATACCTAAGCATTCCTCACTCCTTCCATAACGTTGCTATTGTCGTCCGCCACCCCGCCCAAGACATGCGTATTCTTCACACTTCTACCACATTGCGCTCCTCACTGGATCTTGGCTGGCTCGGCCCCTGGGCATCTTCATCATACTCCCTCGCATCGAGATAATCCTCTCCCCTCAGCAAGCTATACCCTTCGCCCTTGCCTTTCCCCGCCATATCCACTCCGCCGCCAATCCGATGATGGCAGTGGGGACACTCCTTACCTTGCCCAAGGGAGCCCACAAACTTCACCACAATCTTGTTTGAAAGGACGAGAAACGCGTGGATGCACCTTCCCACGTTAGTCATACAATAAGAGAGAATGAGGGGGTAATAACTCACATATTCAACAGCAACGGCACCGTCGCATACCCCTCTAACAGCATAACCCTAGCATTCATCTCCAACCATCTCGGCTCCTCAATCCAAACCGGCAGCAGCACGCCCAAATACGCACCTACGAGCAGCATATCTGCCACCAGCATCGCACACGCGCGACGTTTCTCGCTCTTTTCCCCCGCAGCAGGCTTACTATAGATATATCCGAGTGCCGTGAAGGCCGAGAGAGACAGTGGGATAAAGCCGAAGAAGAAGGGCGGGACGTGCGAGGAGTGGTAGTAGTAGTACGAGTTGACTGCCTTCTTACCTTCGACGCCTGCGGGGATGAGGAGCCCGAAACCGGGCAGGAACGCGATGAGGGTGATGATGCGGAGGGTGCGTTGGGTTTGGGCCGACATCGTGAATGGGTAGCTTCGGTAGGAAAGGGGTTGGAGTAGCGTGATGAGAGGGTAGGTTTATCGATAGTGTAAGAGGGGGCAATGTATTTGGTGGGAACCGTCCTAGATAAACCTCCGCTGCATCGCCCCAGGCAACGACGACAGGCGGGCTGCTGAGGAGGCGATGCCCTGGGCGGAGCACCGTTGCCAATCGATCATGTCCTGAGTGTTTTTGTTTACGGTGCCCCGCGTTGGGTGTCTCGTGTCGAAGGATTCGGATGCAGAGATGCAGCCATGGGCCAATAAGGTGTTGGAGAAGGGGGCTGTGCCGAATGGAGGAATGCCGCTTGCCATGGCGCCACACGAACATGGAGAAGGTTGCGAGAGGATCCATAGGTACGGTTAGTATCAGTCTTGTCGCGACGTTTGAAAAGTAAATGGCGGATCGGACATCTGGAGTGGGAGAGGTAACGAGCGCATGGCCTATGGCATCGGCAAATCATCCCCACAATGAAGTACTGGATCAACAGGAGATAGAATTTGAAGAACAGGGTCTCAATAAGATAGACGCTTGACCGGCTTGCAGTACTCTTGACGTCTTCCGTGCCTTTTCGAAAAGTTGCTCCGACTCCTCCATCATCTTTAGGGCTTCTTCCGTCTGCCACCTGCTGCTCTTCCACTCCTCCTGGCGAAAATGCCCCACCAGGCGAGCAGCACGAAACTCGCCGCCAGTCCTCCCGCCTAACGGCCATCGCGCCGAGGACGAGGAATCTAGCCACCGGTCATGGTGTCATGGTGTCATGACCGCACCCGCGGCATGTTCGTTTCTCCGTTCCGCTGGTGGCTTGGCAAAACGGGCACATCGTGAACGGTCATCGCATTGCGACGGAGCTATCCCAGCTTCGGTTCTTCCTTCGCTGGAGGCCAATCGCCCATCATGAGGTCCTCTTACACTTGCAATAAATGCATATCCCTCATTAAGGTGTCGCGACCGCAACTGCGACCCTCCCCGGCGCTCCGCCTCGTGCCGCAAAAGTTGTCGCAACGGCATCATTCTACCAAGGCTCCCGCACAATCGCAGCTCTGCCTTGCCCGACGTGGCATATCGACTACCCCGAGTCGAAGATTCGAGCAAGGTTTCGAGCCGTACGAATACGTCGACCCCGAGGGCATCCGACGGAAGCTCGTCCTTACCGAAGACAACCTCTTCCATTCGTTCACGCACTCTCCCATCCCAGAGATCCGCAAACGCGCGGCTTTCATGCGACAGCACGCCTATTGCCCTCATCCCTCGCACAAGCCTACACGTGTGGCGCACAACCCGAACGACCTAGAAAACCGAAAGTCACCGGGAGGCGCCCCGCCAGCCCACGTCAACTTCGAATGCCCAGACTGCGGCGTGCCCGTATACTGCTGCGAAGAGCATTGGGCGGATGACTATGAAGCGCATCTGGAAGTGTGCGATGTTATGAGGGAAGCGAACGAGGATGACCACGATCTGAGGAGCGGAAGATTCTTCAAAGAGTTCCAGTTTGCGGAGCCGCAGATCGAGGAGATCCTCACCAACATGAGCAGCTGGGACACATACTTGTACACTCGAGATTTCGACGCGCTGAACAAGGACCGGGAGATGCGCCAGGCGACCAAGCTATTGACCTACCCCATGACCATAGCTAGCGTTATCCACGAGCTGAGTCCATACAATATCCGGAAGGGCGGGAGGATGACGCCGGAGGGCCTCAAGAGCTTCAGCGGTATGGCAAAGCGAACATTGATCAAAGTACGGCACTGACAAACACAGCGTTACGACACTCGCTCCACCCACCGCGAACTGGCGGCGGTGACTCATGGAAGAACGCACGCCTCGCACCTCCGTCAGTCCGCCTCTTCATCCTCGGCGCGCGCGCAGAATCGTCGCTTCCGCGAGAGACATGGATGCAGATGGCATACCTCTTCCACCGCGTGCAGTTCTCCGTGCACTTCATTGGGCCTGAAAGCATGGCGAACCGCGAGAACGAGCTCCCTCTCCCCGAGCGCACACCTCTTAACCCATTCGGCGCCGTCGTCGAAGATCGCATCTCCAACGCCATGAAGATCAGCACCTTCGTCGAATACTACCACGCCATGCACAAGACCGGCTACTTCTACCCCTACGACCCCTACTTCGACTGCTTCGTCTGCTTTCACCCCGGTTTCGGAAACCCGGCTTCGATGCACGAATGGGAGGAGACTCTGCCGCTGCTGCTCGAAACTAAGTGTCCCATCATAGCCACGGGCTATTCGCCATGGGATATGCAGCAAGACGTCGAGCTTCTCCAGAAAAGGTATGGCAACGAGATGGATATCCTGCTTGAGCCTGGCGAGAATATCTTCCGGAGCTTGAGATGGGATTTGAACGACCTGGATCCGCACGATATTACGTGCAGTAACTGGGGCTTGTACGCGTTCCGAGGAAAACGATATGAGACGACCAGGAAGGAAGAGGAGCCGGAGGAGCATAGCGAGAGGACGGCATGAATGTATCTATAGGTGTACTCCGAGATGTATATTATTGTATGTTAAAATCAATTTGGCATATAGACTGAGATATACGCCGAGGTTCCGCCAAGTGCACAAAGTTCGGGAATGCGGCCGTGACATCAACATAAGACCATTCCGACTAAAGCCGTCATGTGATAAATACTCATTAGGAGCCGTCTATATCTCCGTGTGCCCCTCCTCCTTGTTGCCGTCGCTATGTATCAATTTGCCGTTTCCGTTCTTCGTAAAGGCGATCAAATGGAAAACTCCCAAACCCCCATGAGAAAAGGACGTGAAAATAAGACCGTAACCTATACTCCCTAGCTCTATGCAGGCCGTCTTTTGATCCGCTCACTCAACCCCGCGCGCTCGCAAACGGCGTCCAGGTCGTCCACCTCTCATTGTGCAGCAGCAGATCCGTCATCGGCGCGTTCTCATGCGCTATACCTGTACCAGCCTTCGGTCCCTTCAACTCCCACTGCCACTCTAGATGCGTGCCCAGCGTCGTCTCTATACAGTTCGTCATGGTAGATTCAAGGTGCGGCTCCTGCGCGCCCGGCCCGCTAAACGGACGGTGGATCAAGCGGAGCAGATCACGGGCTGCTTGGTGCAGATTGGTGGTGCCGGGGTGCATAGTGAAGAGAACGTCGCTGAGGGACGCTTCGTTGCCTTTGTGGAGTTGGTCATTTTGCCCCTGGTAGTCGTGCAGCACGGCGACGTAGCGGGCGAGGTTGTCGCGGAAGGAGCCGGCCAGGCGGTCTTTGAGGGCACAGAAGGTGAGCGTCTGGAAGCACTTCGAGATGAGTTCGAAGTCAGAGGCCCAGCTGGAAGAGGGGAGATTGCTGAGGGCTTTTTGGGTGGCGCAGTAGAGAATCATAGTGCAGGATGTGTAGGCGGTGAATCTGCCAGTTGCTGATTAGTCACTGCGCGGAGTAGCAAGAGGTGTACTGACATGCAAAGCCAGCAGGTCTGGACGACGCTTCCCTCGGCGAGCATCAGAGACAAGACTCTAGCGTTAGCCTTGGCGGCCATGTATCCTTCCTCAATAGCCAGACTAGATTCACGCCCAATAGATACTCTTCCGGTGGCATCGGGAGAAAAGTGCGCAATCATGAGCCGGCGTGAGAGCAGCATCATGGCCGAAACATAGAAAAGATGAACGTAGAAAATCACGGCACGATGCTGGGATGCCGGGCTGTCCGGCTCAGCGATTAGAAGGTAGTCCAGCTTCATCCAATTCGGAAGGTTCTCGTAGAAGGCGTTGAGTTTTGCTCGAAGTTCGGCGACTGCCACCTCGGAGACATATCCATCGGGCAGGTGATGGTGAATTCTTGCCTTGATGACTGTCACCTTGACGGCTTCGCGTTGGATGACATGCTCAGGGGCGCAGTCTTCCTCATCTACAACTAATTGGAGGTTGTTGCTGAGTGACTCGGGGAGGTAGTCCAACGAAGCGCTAAGCCAACTGATTCATGTCAATTCAGGGATGCAACAAGCAGGGAAGAAAGTGGGCAGGACGCACCATTGCAGTTGAATAAGGGTCCTGCGTGTTCGCTTGTAGTCGGCAAGTTCAGCGCGAGATATTCCTGGCGGGCCGGTGTCATTGTTGAGGCCATGGTTACGCGCCAGGCTCAGACCGAGTTCTGCATGGGCAATTAGTCTGACGTGTCTCCTAAAAAAGACGCACAATGGCGAGGGGCTTACCAATGTAGGCTAAAGCGACGGTAGCGTGCAAGGCGATGTTGTAAAAGGCCACTAGGGTGCAGACTTTCATGGCACGGAGGGGGTTGTACAGAATGGCACTATCCAAGCCATGCTTCGCCACAGCGTAGAAATAATCGGCCATCTCGATAGAAGGGGCGTTGTCGGGCACGCGGAGCACCAAATGCAATGAGCCCATGGCGGCCATGCCTGCTAGCTCAGCAGCAAGGGCCCTGACCTCGAGGCTGCCTGCTCTGCTGACGAGGTCAGCCAGGGTCAAGCCGTCGGAAAGGTCGGCGAAGCGCCTAACGGTCCTGTCCACGTCGGCCTTGTCGGAGACGTAGAACAAGCCGCCGATGCACCAGAAGAACATGTCGATGGCCGGTCTAGCTCCGTGGATAGTGGCGTTCTGGCCGGGAGGGGGACGGGCGAAAACAAGCGATCCGGCCGCATCAGGGCTCCTGAAGAACGGGGACTCGGGGTAGCCGGTGAGAACTGGGTTGGACAAGGAAAATGCTTCGCCCGCTTGGGTGAAGGGCAGAGAGCGCCGGGCTGAGGCAGATGATGATGATACCGATGAGGACGAGGACGAGGACAAGGATGCCGATGATGCTGCTGCGGACATGGGCGCTCCCATTGTTGACTGGTCGCTCCGGTCTCTCGCGATGTAGTCGAGCATGGCTCCCACATCGCCGCCCTGGACCGATCGCAGGCGGTGCAGGAGCTCGGTTGCGCGCTCCGGGGCGGTGGTCTGCAGGTACCACAGGATCTCAAACATGGCGCTTTTGTCTTTCTCGAGCGACATGATCTGCTGCTTCCGGGCCTGGGAATGCGATTGGCCGGGGGCGGTGGCCCACTCGCATCGCGACTTGCGGTGGACGCATGCTTGACAGCTTGGCCGCGCGCCGTCGCACTGCAGAAGACGAGGGCATCAGCGGGCGACGGACAGGATGAAGGGGTGAAGGGGTGGAGTGGTGGAGTGGTGGAGTGGGTGGTTGTGGGTGAGGATTGGGCACGGAAGAGATCCCACGGGTGCAGGAGAGATACTAACTTTGGTGCGGCGTGATTGGCAGGCCTTGCAGGCTACGCCCACTTTGCGCTGTGGCGTGCATCTGGCAGCGGCCGGCTCGGCGGTAGCGCCCGCCGGCGGAGCGTCTGCCGGCTTGGGGAGGATGTTGGGCCTGGCGGACATGCTGGGGACTGCGGATGGGCGCGAGACGTGGAAGAGAGGCCGCGAGAGTCTGGCGGGCGCTGCATTTTGCTTTGGGGCGCGCCGCAGGAGTGGAGGAGGGCGAGGGAGGGGAGGGGGAGGGCGCCGGGCGTGGGAGCGCGGGCGCCGTGGCCTGTGGTGGTCCTGCCTCTCGGGGCCGTTGGCGCCTGCCGCGCGAGCGCTGCCGAGGCGCAGTGGGCTGCGGTGGGCGGCTGCGGCACGTCACGCGCCCGCTTCCCATAGGCCGGCGCCGCTGCTCCTTTCCGCTTGGAGTCGCCGTCGCGCCCGTTTCGCCGTAGCGGCATGCCGGCCGCGGCCCGCGCTAGCTGCTTGCGGCCGCCAAGGCATTAGCGCGTGCTCCCAGCCGCGCTATCTCCCGACTCCCCGCATCGCTAGAGCGCCGCGTATGCACTCGGCCGTCGCGGCTTCATCGCCGTCCCGTCCCGCGAATAGGCTCGAAACATCGGGCGTCGAAAACGGAGAGCTGCAGGCTTGCGGTGAACATCTCGCATTGACATTGGCCCAGCTTCCTGTATCCACCATCCGACACCATTACCGTCGCTTCATCATTCGGCCAACCCCTACCTTTGCCCATCCGCCCCCGGCCTACATCCCAACATGCGCCCTAAGCCTACGACAAACGCGGAGAAGAAAAAAAAAAAAAAAGAAGCTCTATATGCTTGCTCGCTATTTCCATCTGAAAACACCGCCGAATTGAACAAGATGCAAGATACATGGGAAACCACCCCAAGTCCATAACAGAAAGAAACCGCATAAAGTGAAATCCGGCTAACCGCAAGCTAAATGCCGCTCGTGTTGGCGCCGTAAATAGGACAGTTCCGCAGGCGCCGTCGCTGATAACATAGGTCCAATTGCCGGAGCATATGCATACACGGGAAAGCCGAAGCCCGCCCAGGTCGAGGATGGAGGAAAAGGCTCCGTCGTCATCCGTAGAGTTCGTCACTCATCGCCCGCCGTCTAGTACCGCAGCTTCCCTAGCAACGAGAAGCTGTACGCACACTCTCTCTCGCTCTTCATCTGGATCATAAATATCCGAGCCCGAGCCCCCGACACCCCTCCCGTGTGCCCCGCACGTCCAGCCACTCCGTCTGGGCCCACGATATCCTCCCAGACCGAGACCGCGATCCCGCTCCTGGCCACTCGCTCGAAACAGCTCTCGGACAGGGTGACATCGAGCAGCGTTTGTCCCTTCGTCTTGCCCACCACCACGATCCTCTTCTCTTGACTGGGGTCGCGCGTTCCAGGGCTGCCCTTTCCTTGCCGCATCGCCGTCGTTGGAATCGAAGCATCTGGAAGCATGATGGTGAGGCGTGCTGCACCCATGTCGCGCCACTTCGTAAGAGAATCGCGCTCGTAGAGGCGGCATTTTGTATTCGTGATGCCGGCAGGTGCGCCTGATGCTCGTCCGGGCTCGAGGTTGGAAGGCGTGCTTGCTCCCGAGCCAGACCCGCTAGAGCCCGTATCGAAGCTATTAGTGCTGCGTGAACCGAGCGTCGAGCCGCGAATGTTGAACCGCCCGTTCTTGCTAAAGCTAAAGCGACCGAGCGCGCTGCGAAGCGCTGTGTTCATAGTCCCGACCGAGGATTCCGTTGCCGCCGAGATAGAAGCAGCCCGCGTGCTAGTCTTTCGGTAGGAGCTGCGCCGTCCGAGAGAGCCACCAAACCAGCCGCTTGATGATCCTGCATTAGAGCGCGCTGCGTTTTGACGATCCATGACTTCGGCCCAACTGCTTTGTCCGTATGGTCCTCGTGCGTTCTGGAGCGCAATATACGTAGGATTGTTAATGCGCGAGTGATTGATCATGGCGTATAGTTGGGCGCATTCCTGAGAATTCCTGCTTCGCAACATGATGTTATTTCCACTCCTGATGCGCGACTCGGCCGTGGGTGGTGATCGAATCGAGATGTCGATAGCAGTTGACTTGCGAAGAGGAACCAAGGGTGTCAGCTCCACTGCGATAAGGGGCGCCTTTCCCTCAGGCTGGATGATCTCGTCACCGTCTTGCAAGAATGGCTTCGAGTGCGCAGCGGTAACTTCAAACACCTCGATCTTGCCAGGAGTGATCACGATACTACACTCGTCGGGATGCAAGCTATCCCATCGACCCGCATCCGACCATGTGAAAATAGATGCGATTGCCTTCGATGCTTGCCCGGAGCCGTGCGGAACCGTTCGGTAGGGCGTATTAGACGCCGACTGAGAGGGGGTGATGGTACCGTTCGGCAGGGTGTATATCGAGCCTGGCGGTGACACCTTAGGAAACTGCCTCCTCTGTCCTAAGGGCATCAGAGGTGTTGGCACGTCATCTTCTAGCACGTCGTCGGACGACTCTGATGTGACAGATTCTTCATCCCCAGAGGCCTCCTCTTCGCTCTCGCTCGACGACTCGGTACAGGTGGACGGCTCGTACTCGTGCTTCAGGGGTGAGGAGGACCGCCGTTTCTGCCTGAAGCCCGGAAGCGTGGGTGTGAAGACAGGAGTGTTGGATGACTTCAAGGTCACAGGGGTCGCAGGGCTGGGTGATCGATGGGGTGGCACCGGCGGCGGCTTGTCGTCGTCTTCTGGCAGCGGAGCATCCTCCTGAATAGGTTTAGAAGGCTTTCTAATCTTCGACGGAGCTGACTTGGGTGGCTCTGCGCTCTTGGTGGGTTCCTCAAACGTGTGCTTTACCGGAGTGCTGGGCTGACTCGTCTTCCGTAACTTGGGAATCGTAGGCAAATCCATAGTAGGCACGGATGAAGCCCGTCGGTGCGCTTGAGGACGTTGAGGAGGCTCATGCACTTCTTCGACTGAACGCTTATCCTCGTCGGATTCGTCCGAATACTCATTCTCGGAAGTAGGGATCCAGACGCTGAAGCCCTTGCTTGACTGAGACAATGACGATGGTGTGGTTGAGTCTGGTCGCTCCTGTCGGTGGCGCTTGGACAACTTTCGGGGTGGCTTGACCTCTTCCTCTATTGGATCATCTAGCACGATCTGTCTTGAAGGCCGGGATGCGGACGGGGACGAGAGATTCTTCGACAGCCTCTTCGCCTTGGTCCGCTTCAGACTTATCGGTGATCCAGTACCAGCCATGTGCATAGCCTCATTGAGACTCCGCGGTGTCCGGTTGAGTTGGTCGTCGTCGGCATGGCCGGCAGAGCGCGGAGAGGAAGCATTCGCGCCCGCTTCAATGTGCTTATGGGATTCGAGCGGGGATGGTGGTGAAACTTGGCTCGCACCATATTCACTTCCTCCATGTAGATTTTCGCTGCTCGGTGGAGTAATAGGCGATATTGTCCGTGAATGCGAACGCCTGTCCGGGGTCTCGTAACCCCATTTCTTTGAGGTGGCATTTGCCTGCTCCCCAATGGGAATTTCGATCTCATGTGGGCTAGGGGTGCGGCTCTTTTGGGGCAGAGTGGAGGCAGTGGCACTCGATACTAGGGATGACGAGGCATGGCTGCTAGTCGGTCGTGGCGTTTTACTAAGGGCGCCCTCATCCCTCTTCAGGTCTGACAGCTGTGGCGGTATCGGATTGAGACCGAGCATCTGCACCCACTCAAATCCGGCTTGTTCGTCGTCTGTGGTCAAGGACATAACTTCACTCCATTCGTTGCCATCTGCATGGTAGCCCCGAATCATGACGATGATCTCCCCCTTCAAATCGCCGTTTCGGGCGGATATCTGGCTCTGCTGGATCGGTGGCAGCAGGAGCCAGCGGCCCGTATTGTCGACTTCACAGACCAAAACGTCTCCGCTTTGTCCAGTGCCTGGCGCATCATCGCGCATCAGCAACTCCACACGGCAATCTACTTCCTGCCCGCTTGAATGATATAGGTGCAAGTCAAAGTGATCCCTTGCTCTGACACAGCGGGTAGGGTCAATGCGCACACCAGCGAGAGGTGCAAGGCTTCGAGGATCGCGAGCACGAGTGGGGTCGATATTTGCTGCCGCCTCATCCTCCAAACGAGCGTGCTCGTCGTTCGAGCGTTTTCGAGCAGCCGTAACGAGTTCTTGGAACGCAGTCGACGTTCTCTCTGCGCGCTCAGACGCTTTGATATGGTTGATTCCCTGTTGAAGGTTAGTGGAAAAACCGTACCATGGAAGAATGACATGTCAACCCACCTTGATGCTCTTAGCTAGGTACTTTAATCGGACCAAAGGCCGCTTGAGCATGTATGCCACGTCGACCCGCTCACCGTCGCCGTTGACGACATAGCCTTCAGCGTTTCGAGGAAGGCCCTCATCCCATGGTGCTCCGTCGTCCGGGCCGTCCACTACCCTTGCTGGTTTAAAGGGATCGTCGTCCGCGGGCGCAAGGCTGATAACAACATCCTGAAAGCCCAGCCGCCATGCTTGGATGTAATCAGAATAGACTCGCTGCGCACTCTGGGCCCACGAGAGGAATGCGTCCGAGTCGTCTGTCCGTATTCGCTTGTGCAGGGTCTTCAGTCGCTCCAAAGAAATCCCCATGTCGATGATTGGTTTTGTGATATTGTTCGGATCAGTGTTGGCCGAAGCGCTGAAAAGTCCGGCGGCGACGGCCGAATCGGACTTGGATAGAACGCAGCTTAGAAGGACAGGAATAACGCCGTCAACCAGGGTGCGCAGCTCTCGCATATATTTGGTCTCGTCTGAAGCAAGCTCGTTCATGATGTCGCTAATTGTGGCAGTGGCCAGGCGGCTTCTGTTTGTTCGGATGCTTCGCGCAGATACAATGCTCCTCGTGCCTGCCTTGGGCATCGAGAGCACTGATATCAAGTCCGCGTGACTGGCAAGCTTGCTGCGCTTCGTGCTCTTACGACTTATAACGGTCGAGGTCTCCGCATTAAACCGCGACCCAACATCGGAGGCAGGGACCTCTTCTGCAATCTCGTTCGGCTCGGCTTCTGTTTCCACCGCTTCTGAGCCGACAGCCTCCGAAGGAGCTGCTTGCATCTTGGTCCCGAATGTCTCTACAGACACGATAGTCGACAGCCGTTTGCCAGTCGATGGAAAGAGACGGCGCATTGCCGGGTTTTCGAAATGTGGTCTAAGGCTTAGTTTCTCGATGTCCATTGCTTGTGGCCCAACCGATGAAGAACGGGCAGAGGAGGCAATATCTTCCTCATCTTTGGGCAGTTCGGTAGCAGGCAAAGACACTACACGATCCTTGGTGGGCGAATGTTGGGTGCGTCTCGCACCACGGCGTTTCAGGGTCGGCGTAGGCGTTAATTCTTTCTCCTTGTCACTGGCCGGAGTATCTACGGGATCAGTCAAAGGGGCAACAGAAGGCTCTTCTTCTAGATCCTGCGTCTCAATCTGGATGGTTGAGCTTCGCTTTCTCCGCCGCCGCCCGCTACCACTGGTGCGCTCTGGGGCTTCTCCGGCGGGTGCATCCTTATTGTCGCCGGATGCACTGACGTCTGATTTCTCACGCTTATGAGACAATTCCAAAGTGGACACCGACTCTTTGGATTTCCGTCTGCGGCGGGAATCTGCATCGACAAACGGATCTGGTGTTGTCTGCAGCCAGGCTTCCAGGCGGCTTCCGAAGACCCTGACTGGGGTTTCTGGAGTTGCGGGGTCGGGCGAGCGAGGAAGGGCATCCTCGTCGTCCTTTTGGTATGATCTCCGATGGGACTTTCGTCGGCCCGTGGGTGTTGGGTTTTTCGGGGAGTCTTCCTGGGAGACGTCGCCGTGGGTTTTTCTCCGGCTCTTCCGCCGCCTCTCGCGGATGTCGTCATCGGGACGCGATTCTACGTGGCTCGGCTCATACTCGACTGTTATCACGTTGGCCGGGTCCTCGCTTAGGGATGTCTCTGATTTCCGGATGGAACGCGGGCGACGTTTGACAGGCGTGATGTCTTCGGCAGAAAGCGAGCTCCTGGGAGATGTTTGGGAGGGGCGCCGGCGCCGTACTCGGACCAGCTCCGTCTTTTTCTTTGGGGACGGCGGAGACGAGGGCGATGCGACGCCTTCGTCGGCGCTCTTCGCTCCCTTTGCGCTTGCCGACCCGCTGCTGGTGGGCCGCACATCGTTGCCCGAGCTCGTGGGCCGCGAGGGCCGTCGCTGGCGCTGGCTGCGTGTCCTCTGGCCCGTGCTCTTCGATGTAAATATGACCATCTGCGGCCGCGGTGGCTGGGGCGTCGAGAGCTTGGTGTCGGGGCTGTCGACTTTGCGCGCGGCGGGGCGCACCCAGGCGGTGGGCAGCGGCTTTGGCGAGGCGCGAGCGGTTGCGTCTTTCGGCGGCGACTTGTTGTTGCGCCAGTGCGAGTCGCTCACGACGCGCTTCTTCGGCGCCGTCGCCGTGTGCACTTCGTCGTCGAGCTGGTTCTGCGCTGGCGGCTTCTTTGCGCTCCTGGGCCGCTCGGGGCTCGCTTCGACCGCCTTGGTCGGCGTATGTGCGGGTTTCAGACTCGGCTTGTCGTCGAGCAGCGTCGCTTTCGGCGTCGCGGGCAGCCTGGGGGAAGGCGCGGGAGTGACGGCGTCCTCTGCGCCCGCGTCGGCATCGAGTTCGGCCTGCCATTTTCTGATCTTGTCCTTCACATTGGCCGGCCTGTCAATCCCGATGGCCTTCCCGAAGTCGGCGCCTTTCATCGTGGAGCTGTTTGCAGCCGCCGTCGTCTGGGCATCCTTCTGTTGGCGCAGCGGAATTCGAGGGCTATGAGGCGAGGGCGCGGCGGGCATGTGTTCTGGAGGGCATTGGTGCCGTCAGCGAGTGCGGTGGTGAAGCGCGCCGGTGAGGGGGTTGGATTGTTTTGGTGGTGATTCGCTCGGAAGCACTGATGTCAACAAGCTTGGAAGCTGGACTGGAGCGCAAGCTTACCCTCACCATTAGCATTAGCGGCCTTCGAAGGGGCGATGGTGCGCTAGCAGCGGCATGTACTGTCGACGATGGATGGCGCAGGGCATGGGCCCAGCAGCGTGCAACGGAGCAGTCGGTGAATGCAGAGCAAGCTGCAGCAGTAGTCTACATACAGCAGATGGGCTGGAGGTGCACTTGGTGGAGCACGCGGATCCCTGCCAGAGCTCTGCGCCACCCGCGGGCGACACGATAAGAGAGCGCGGGCGGCAACCACCACACAACAATAACAATCCCAAGTCGTGAACTGGCCACGGGCCTTCTTCATCTCCCAGGCCCTCGAGTACTGTAATGCCACGGTTCCCTCCTTGTTTATGCGCCTGCGACAGGCGTTGCTAGGTGCCTCGACGCCGTCCTCTTCGGTTCGGGGCGTTCGTGCATGCACACCCCTGCCGGTCCCGCCCGGCTGTCTCACCACAGCCGGCAATCATTGCGCAACCCGGCAATTCGATCTCGTGCACTGTAAATAGCGGCTGCTGCAACCCCGAAGACTACTACTATTCATTACAGCGCGTTCTATAGAATGGGAGGCACGACAAGTGCCTTCTCTAAGGGTATTAAGTCTCTAAAATATGTCTATCCCCGTCCTGCATCGCTGGCCCCCTCCATCCACCCCCAACATCTCACTGCCTCTTCTTCGCGCTGCCGTTGGGCGCGCCTCTCCTCAACGCCTTCTCCATCTTGTTCAGCGCCTCGAACGCCCTCCAGCTGGCACCCACACTGGTGCAAAGCAGGTAGAACGGAATCACTATCCAGAAGCTGTTCATGAGGACAAAGTATCCCCAGAAGTAGGCCGCTTCGGGTCTCGAGTATGAGAGATCCAGTATCCAGTGGTCGAACATGCTTGTCGCATAGTAGAGGACGTCGCCGTAGAGCTGGCCGAGCGAGACGATGGTTTGCAGCGGGTGGCGGAGCGGGTGGTCGGTCGCGACCAGGGCAGCGGTGATGAAGGAGAGAGGCCCCCAGCACACCTGGGAGAAGCGCTATTAGCATGCATTCAGGAGAGCGCGGCGCCATGATAGAGGAACGCACTGCGGTGATGGTCTCCATGCAGAGCACAAACGCGTCTTGTGTAAGGTATCGGGAGTCTGAGAGCGAGTACTCCTTCCACAGTTGCCCGAACAAGTCCTGCATCCCTCCCATTCGGCGGAAGTTGAAGGCGAAGTAGCCCTCGAAGAAGAAGTGAATGCAGCCGCCTGTCCGCCCGTCAGTCATGAGCCCCCCATCACTGAGCCATCACGACTTACACAGGACAAACCAGAGGATGACAAGGAGATCCGACGCAGACACACTCGGCCGCACCCTCTTCACGACGACATACGTGACGTTGAAGATGACGGCGCATCCGGCCGAAAACAGGGAGACGAGCTCCAGCGTGTTCCATTCGTTGGCGAGGTATCCGACAATTTCCGCCTCAATTGGATAGTATGGGTGCGGAGGAGAGACAGGCGCGGTCTCAGGCATCGCGACGGGCGGAGGGGAGGGATTCAGAAGGCTCTTTAAGAAGGATGCCATGGTGTGGTAAAGTGTTCGTCGACGCCTGGGGAGGTTAGGCAGGAGCCAGGGTTCGCGAAGGCACGTGCTCGCTTACACGTGCACAGGTGCTCTTCCAAGTGGCCCACGCCCAACCACCGTCCCATCGATCCTCCACCAAGGTCGTCGAGTCTCACTTGGCAAAGGGTCGTCCCTTCCGAGATGGATGAATTGAAACAGGCCATGCTCAGCTGGAATGCCGTGTGCGCGGACACGAGCACCAGCACCCCCTTACGTCCCGACATGAAGTCTTAAAGGCGGGCGCTGCGTCCTCGAGAGCGAAAGCTAAGCTGCGATACCACCTTCCCTTCACGATTCGACGTTCGGCAAAGCTCCAGTCGGTATTCCATCCATTCGGAGCTTTTCATCCATGTTAATTCCGATACGAAGCTTCCCCGCCCGTCGATCATCAAAGCTTCGCGTAACCATCCCATCCAGCGACTCCGTGTGTGGACGGATCATGCAGCTCACTCAGACGCCGTGGCCTGCTCCCGGCCTACCAGGCCAAATCGTGTTGGCCGGTCCCGACCCCGCCTGTTTAGCGTGCACTCCGAGGTACGCTCATGCTTTCTCGGGCGAAAAGGACCCTCCAGCCACCCCTGCTGTGCATCATCCTCCAAGATTCAGTCCAAGCCACGAGTCTCTAATTTAGGTTCACTTTTGCCCTCTTGTGGGATGCGCAACTGATTGATCGTCCTCCCTCTGCTCCTGCTGTCAGAATGTTGCTCGCTTTCTTCTTCGGCACTCTGATCTCTAGGAGTAGCTCCCTCATACTCAAGGATGACGTTGGAAAACTGCCAGCACTCGGCGTACGTACGCGCTCTGATCACTTTACCGGAGTCTAACCGCTTCGCAGTGGAATTCATGGAACGCGTACCATTGCGATATTACGGAATCCCAATTCATCACCGCGGCCCAGAAACTGGTCGATTTGGGTTTGAAGGTACGATACACGAGTCCCCCGAGTCCTTCGGAGTTCCATCCTTATAGACGTGCAGGATGCAGGCTACGAATACGTGAATATCGATGACTGTTGGTCGGACAAAGACCATCGCGATGCGGACACCAACCGTCTCATACCCAATACGACCCGGTTCCCGGATGGAATCAAAGGGACGGCGGATAAGATCCATGACCTTGGCCTGAAGATCGGTATCTACAGCAGCGCGGGAACGAAGGTAAGCCGTGTTGGCCCAATCATCATCAAAGTTCGCTCGAGCTAACAAGATTCTAGACTTGCGCGGGGTATCCAGCATCCATCGGTTATGAAGACATCGATGCAGCCACGTGGGCGGAATGGGGCATCGATTATCTAAAATACGACAACTGCAATGTCCCGCAGAACTGGACCGATGAGTGTCGAGGCTGCGTCCCCGAAAATCGGCCTGACCTGGTGAACGGAACATGTAAGTGTTACCCTTCTGCGGCACACATATCGCAGCCTAACCTACGGAAAGGTACCAGCACCACTGACCTCTGCCCATCCGGCTACGACTTCTCTCAATCCAACACGGCCGAGCGCTACCGCATCATGCGCGACGCTCTCCTCTCCCAAAACCGCAGCATCCTCTACTCGCTCTGCGAATGGGGAGAGGCCAGCGTCCAGCAATGGGGCAACAGCACGGCCTCATCGTGGCGCATGTCCGGCGACATTGACCCCGCTTGGTCACGCATTCTCACCATCCTCAACGAGAACTCATTCTACCTCAACAACGTGGATTTCTGGGGCCATTCGGATGCCGATATGCTTGAAGTGGGGAACGGGATCTCCATCGAAGAGGCGCGCACGCATTTCGCTTTTTGGGCGGCTATGAAGAGTCCGTTGCTTATTGGTACTGATCTTGAGCAAGTACCGCGAGATGAGGTCGACGTACTCAAGAACTCATACCTCCTGGCTTTCTCGCAGGATGGATTGTACGGGAAGCCAGCGATGCCGTATAAGTGGGGGACAAATCCGGATTGGACATTCAACGCGTCTTTTCCGGCAGAGTATTGGAGTGGTGCGAGCAGCAATGGCACGTTAGTGCTCCTATTCAATCCCTACAACGATACGCGATCAAAGACGGCAGATTTTGGAGAAATACCGGGGCTGGGGGACGGCAAGTATCAGGTTACGGATATCTGGAGTGGGAAGGATATGGGGTGTGTGGATTGGAAGATTGACGTGGATGTCGAGGCGCATGACACGGCGGGATATCTTGTTGGCGATGGCTGCTATTAGCATTACCTGGCTAGAAGGTCAACACATTGAGGCACTTCACGGGGCATGTTGCCATGGAGCGATTATCAATGACTAAGTAGAAGCTACCCCTCGCAGCACCTTGCCCCTTTGGGACAGCCTCGGTCCAAGGCCACCAAAACTCCCTTCTCCCAACCGTCCGTCCTCGAACCTTCAACAATCGAAATCATGGTATCCTCAGTACCTAAGAAATGGCAGCTGATCTCCTGGCAAAAGAAGGATGAGCAATTCTATCGCATACCTTGCGAATGGCGGTTACGCCGCGCGCCTTCTGCGGATGTCGCGAGTTACATGAAGATACCGAGGGAGTGTGGGCTGTTGAACAAGGAAGAGATCAGGATCACGGAGGAGTATGATGCAACGAGTTTGGCGGAGGCGATTCGGAAGAGGGAGGTGCGGTGTGTTGATGTTTCCCGCGCTTTTTGTAAGGTACGCATACCACAGCTCTCTTGATCGACGGAAAGACGGATGCTGATGAAGTGGACAGAGAGCAGCAGTTGCCCACCAGCTCACAAACTGCCTCACTGAGATTCTATTTGATGATGCCCTGAAGAGGGCAGAAGAGCTGGACGCACATCTCGCCACCGGGAAACCGCCACTTGGCCCTCTACATGGCGTGCCGGTCTCACTCAAGGATACCTTTAAAATCAAAGGGTACGACGCATCGATCGGACTAGCCGCGCTTTGCTTTAAGCCCGCAACTGAAAACTCCCCACTCGTAGATATTTTATTGAAAGCCGGAGCAGTACCCTACTGCAAAACAAACATTCCTCAAACTCTCATGGCCCTCGACTCTCACAACAACGTCTTCGGGCGCACACTCAACCCTCTCAACACCCGCGTCACCGCAGGCGGAAGTTCCGGTGGCGAAGGTGCGCTGCTCGCACTCCGCGGTTCCGTGCTGGGCGTTGGCACTGATGTCGGTGGCTCGATCCGCATTCCGGCTATGTGTAACGGGACATTTGGCATCAAGCCGAGCTGGCAGCGCGTTCCGTACGCGGGGCAGGAGGGTGGTACACCGCCTGCATTATCGAAACTAAGCATTCCAGCAAGCGCGGGGCCATTGGCGAATTCGATGCGGGATATTGAACTGTTTTTCCGGGTGGTGGCGGAGAGCAAGCCATGGGAGCTGGATGCAGATGTTGTGCCGGGTCCCTGGAACTCGCTCACAAGTATTCAGGGAAGGAGAATGACGGTCGGTGTTGTGAGGAGGGATGGCGTTATGGAACCGCATCCACCGATACTGAGGGTCCTGGATGAGGTGAAGGGAAGCATGCAGGGCGCAGGGATTGAGATGGTGGAGATGGATATCACGCCGCTCTTTAAGCAGTGCCAGTCGCTCGCCAACGCACTGTTCGGCGTTGAAGGCGGAAACGCGATGTTCGATCTCATCGAAGCAACTGGCGAACCGCTTTCTCCGTGGCTACAAACCCGACTACGTCGGAAAGCTCCGCTATCGCTGGAAAAGATTCGGGAATTACAAGCAAAGAGGACTGAGCTGCAGAAGCAGTTTCTCAAGATATGGAAAGATGGGCAGGGGAGGGAGATTGATGCTTTCATCTGTCCTGTCGCGCCTCATCCCGTCCCGCCGATCGACCGCTACAATGGCGCAAGTTACACGAGCTCATTTGTGCTTCTAGACTATCCGGCAGGAGTGGTGCCGGTGAGGAGGTTTGAGAAGAGAGATACGAAGGGCGAAATGCCGAAGACGAAACCGATTGGGACTTGGGATAAAGCGAATAGGGAGCTCTGTGAGTGCGTTCGTGTTTTGCCCTGCATCGGAAGAGAGAGAACCGAGCACATACTGATTTGAATCTCAGGGGCGGACTTCGATCGAGTAGTCTACATTAGCACGCCACTTTGTATACAGGTTGTGGCACCGAAGCTAGAAGAGAGACGCCTTTGTGAAGTCATGTCGGCCATTGATAACGCCTTGAAACGAGAAGCCAGCACGCCAGTATCCAAGCTGTAAATCATGTGCGTACAGCTCCGACTGGGTTTCTGAAGTGCAGCTCGGTATCTGAAGCTAGACCGGACGAAGCATTCTGGTGTGCGTGCCCCGACCTTAGCCCCCGCTGGATAGTCGCGCTCGTGGACCGTTGATGCGCCCGCGAAATCGCCTTGAACAGCAGAGATACCCTCTCTACATTAGAATAAACACTGTTTGGGCCCGGTAAGACCAAGTCTAGAACGGGGACAGATGCTACGGGGTGTCCAGTATTGAAGCACAAGCTACTCCAAATGACGCATCTGTGCCAAGTGCTCTTCTTGTACTTGCTTGCTACGTTGCTTAAGCGGTACCTTCACCTTATGTCTAAGCTAAGATAATGCAGACACGTTTAGAGGGCCTTACCATGGGCGGCAGGAATCTCGTGCCTAGTAAAGGGCCTAGAGCCAGTGTGATCCGCCTCTAGTCTCTCTAAAGATGGCTTCTTCTCTTAATTAGAAAGCTTTCAGCTGGACTTACAGTGCGTGGGCCTTCTCTATTAGTTACCAGCCGCGAACAGCGTCCAATGGTGTAGCAGTGCTCGTTTCAACGACGCCACAATGTGTGGCGCCGTGGCTAATGCATGATCTGTGCACTTCTAAGGTTCCTCAACGCCCTTACGTTCTGATGCCGTTACCTAGGTAGTCTAAGGGCCCTCTAGACTACATTCTAGATCTCTGGTGAGATGTCGTCTGCGCTTGGCTGTTCTTGTCTCCCTTGTCTCGCGTCCGCCGCCCGAAGCTTGAGTCGGACGCTGAGAATCACGACCTCCGTCGCTAGGCAGCCGCGCCTTAAACCTTGCCTGCTGATGATGCAGGCTGCACAACTTCGTCATCTCTCTTCTTTTCCCTAGCTAGTCCTCCCCGCAAATCTCAGTCTTCGCCGCCTCCTGAGCTGTCGAGTATGGCTGCAGAGAACGGACTCGGAGACCCTATGCAGCTCACTTGTATCATGTCCTACCTACGTTCAATATATTTCGAAACAATAGCGCCTATTGACACGAGGGACTCGGGTAGGGTTCGAGTGCTCGGATTGTGAAGGGCCAATCAGGATCGCGGCGCGAGCTGAAGTGACAGGGCCAAGCGCGATCGCGCATGCGTGCTTACCAGTGTAGCTACGGCTGATCTAAGAAAAGGCACCGGTATGCCCACCACTCACGACTCAGTGCGCAGCTGCGACTTACTGCAACGCGAAGTTGTGGATCGCTTCATATGTGGGAGGTTTCGCAGGCCGGGTGTTCCTGATTCACACTTTCTGAACACATCTTGTACAGTGCCAAACCACGCTTGCTTTTATCGTTCGAAGAGACATAGCCACTCTTGGGAACAGCCAGCCTGACTGGCTTCAGTCCAGATCACGAGACTTGCGGCTATCTTCCCACGATGAGCGAAGTTCTCCACGAAAGCTATCCGCAATACATGCCGCCCACGGGCGAGGACACCCCAGAGACCCCGCAGGACACCCCGGCGTTCGGATGGAGCTTCAGCGTCGCACACCAAACTACGTATGTGATAACACCGCCAGAGGAGACAGGTGACTATGAGCCAAGGGCCGGCGACATATCTGGTATATTGGACGCCTTTCTTACGTCTCCGCGCCGCTAACCGACGTGCCGTAGAGTCGCTCGTCAAGTACCAGAATACAGCCGAGATCGATGTAGGGGTCACAGATCCTACACTCATCGAGCCGTACCCCGGGGCCACCCTAGGCGACTTCCCTACAATCGAGCTCGCATCCCATTCCTTTCCTATGCCGAGCCTACGGAGCTCTCGACACTCTGTTGAAGGGAGTCCGCATTTGGAGTCCAAGTTCCAATCGCACCCATCCAACGGCGAACTCCGTCCCACCGACCTAAGCTCCTACCTCGACCGCGCCCAAGGGCCGGAGATGATATCAAGTTTGCCCGATTGGAGCTTTATCCAAAGGAGATATGAGCTTCCCCTTCATGCCAGGACCGATGACTGCCCAAGTATGACAACTGGTAGCACGATAAGCAGTCGGAACTCGTCCACAAGGTCGACAAAGTCATTCAGATTGGACGGCGCCGAAGTTCAAGAGAAAGGAGTCTGCCCATATACTGAGTGCGGCCGCATTTTTAGAGACCTGAAAGCTCACGTACTCACCCACCAAGCCGAACGCCCGGAGAAATGTCCTGTCGAGACTTGTGAATACCATGTGAAGGGCTTCGCGAGACCGCATGATAAGGTGCGACACACCATGTCACACTTCAAGGGGACTATGGTCTGCGGTTTCTGCCCCGGTTCCGGAACAGGCGCAGAGAAATCATTCAATCGCTGCGACGTCTTTACGAGACACCTTATCAATCTGCACGGCGTGCAACAGAACGTGTCACGAAGGAATGAGCCCCACCGTGCTGGCGCTATCAAGGCCCCTCGGAAGCCTTCGAAGAGCCAAGGAGTGGCCACCTGCTCCTTGTGCTCTGAGCCGTTCGACGCCCAGGGATTCTATGAACACCTTTCGGGCTGCGTTCTACGCCAAGTCGCCCGGATGTATACAAAGCTTCAGCCGGAGGTGGGAGGGGAGCAACACACCAATAAGAATCCCGTCCAATCGAAAGAGAGTCCCCGCAATGACTCCCTCATCTGCCTACAGGATAAAGTTCAGGGATTGGCCAGGCCCATACCCGAAGAACTCCACCCATCGGATCCAGACCACCTACACTCTCGGCTTAGATCCTTCGCCGCGCCTATAAATATCGAACCGCAAGAGCGCAATCCAGAGAGCAAGGAGATCGCCGAGCTGACGGCATCTTCGCGCTGCCTTTCACTTACTTCATCAGCCGGCGAGGAGGCGGTCAAATCGTCCGATGAAGAGACGGATTGGACCGAAGATGCAGGCTCCCCTGCGAGCGAACCGGACGCGAATGGACTTCGCCCCATGCTCTCGCCCATGAAACGCCAGCTGGTCGACGCCATAATGAAAGAGTTCCATCGAATATTCGACAAGAGCCTCCGAACGCGAAATGGTGGAGGAAGCTCCGGCGCTGCCGATGGATACGGAGTCTATGGGAGCTCCTCGAGCGGCTCCTCTACGTACTCCAACTCGTCGTTTATCTCTCGCAAGCGGAGTCTGAGCGGCGGTGGCTCGCCACCCAACGACAGTGGAGACGACCCTAACAAGCGAAGACGGCCTGACCCTAAACCAAACATCGGGAAACAGCCTATGCCGGAGCTGCGGTTTGCTTGCCCATACTACAAACGCAACCCGGGGCGACATCAGACATTCACGTCCTGTCGGGATCCAGGCTTTATAACGGTCGCGAGGCTAAAGTGAGTAGACTTCTCATAGTACAGGACTTGGTATACGTCATCATGGGGTGCTTTACTCGTTTAAGGTTGCTAATCTTCTCCAGGGAGCACTTATATCGACGCCACCTCCTTCCCATACAGTGCAACCGATGTTGTTCCACCTTCCCAAATGAACCGACACTGCGAGAGCATCAGCGCGACCCAAGGGGGTGTGAGATACGCGAGCAAATACCGCTGGAAGGCTTCGACAAAGATCAAGAGCGAAGATTGAAGAGTAAGAAGCGTAGCTTGGTGTACCAAAGCGAGGAAGACAAGTGGAAAGGAGTCTATCGAATTCTCTTCCCGGATGATGATGAAGCGGACATGCCGTCACCTTGTAAGTGTGTCTATTCCTAAGGTCGCAGGCCTTTAGCTAGCCATCCGGTGGCCACCCGCGCCTCCCACAGACCCCGAAGGCTTCAGGCTGACTATTCCTAGATATTCAGTACCAACCATGCAACGTGGGCCAAGGCGAACCGTCCAATGTAGCTCGCTTCCAGGAATTTTCGCGACTCGAGCTGCCTCGCTTAGTCCGTCGAACGCTCGAGGTCGCCGTCGAGGAAGAAGCGCAACCCCTAGAAGAGAAGCTGAGGGAGCGGCTCGTCGATATCGTTAGGGAATGCCAAACGCAGTTGATATCGCTGTTCCAACAGTCAAGTGGACCTACGAACGTCGAGGCTCCGGAGCTTGTCCCGACTCTGCCTGACGCGGCTAGAAATCTTTCAGAGCAGGATACCAGGAGCCAGCCAGTCCATGCTCCCTTTCGGGGTTTTGAGTCTTTCACTGCAGCTACGGACTTCATTCCCATACCCGCTATACAGTATCAGGCCTGCGAGCAGCCGAAGCCGGAAGCATCGGGTTCGCCAGACTCCGGGTACGACTCCACATGGACGTCATCAGGATTTCCTCAAGAAACCAACTTCCCTCACGACCCCACATTCGTACAGGACACAGGCTTCGGTCAGACACCGTCATTCATCCAGCAAGCTCCTCTCGTTGACAACGGCTATGTCGAACTCGGAGGATACTATGGGCTTTTTGAAGACCGCAGCCTGGACTACGCAGGAGCTGCACATCCATCTTGGGCTTATTTAGACCCAACGAATGCGAACGGAAATGGAAACGGCGCAGGTCCGTCTGGGTCAGGAATATAGCTCCCTGAGTGCCTATACTAATGTCTAATAATACCATCTTTCGTGCCCAGGACCCTGGCTGCGTTGCATGCCACCCGCCATCCTCGTTCTAAATGCTGTATGAACATCACGCGCTTTCGCTATATGGCCAAAATACGACCACGTAGCATAGTTGCAGAAGGTCTAGGCGCGCGAACTCGATCGATGGTCACCTGGAATATGCACTTTTCGCTTGGGGCTATGGACTTACTCTGTGGCGTCATTTCCGGTCGGCATGCTTCAAGACGATGTTCCGGTGGTGAAGATAATTACTACTCTATTTCGCAAAAGCAGATTGGGTGACTATTGCGAAGATTCCTCCGCAAAGGTTGGGGACGAAGCAAGAAAGCGAAAGGCAGGGAACAGAATGTTGCTCGAGAGGGCGCATTCAGGCTTTGTGCCACATTGACGCGCCGCACACACCGAGGCTCACCAAAGTCCCCTGCGCATATTGGTAGACCGAAGCTTTCTTACAATGACTTGACACCCTTCGCCACAAGGAAAAGCAAATGCTAGGCCAACAAATGAACAGGAAGAATATGCAATCGCATCATTACACATATATACGCTAACACTGGAATGGCACATCGAATTCACAAATCTCCAGCCTCCAGGAACTGTTGAAGAGGGTTTTTGCTCACTTAAAAGATATCCTCCAGCCCCTGTTCCCGCCAATTAGCCTTTCCCGTCGCAACCTCACTCCTCACCTTCCAATATTCGTGATTAAACACCCAAAACTCCTCTCCGGTCGTCTCGCACCTGCCCTTGCTAAACCACCTAGGAATGAACTCTTCGCCTCGAGCCTCGCGCTCCCGCCTCGTCTTCCGCTGTTTCTCCTCAACCCTATTCTTCTCCGTCGCTGCGAGGTCGTACTCGCCGTCCTCCATCGCGCGCTGATCGGGTCGTAAGCGGGTATCCGTGGGCGCAACAACGGGGCGCAGAGAATCAGTGATCGCGTTGAGTGTGACGACGAAGGGTGTGAGGTTGAATGGAATGCCGGTGGGGCGCTCGTGCGCTTGCCAGACGAGGAAGGCCTTGTTGTCGTCGTGCTTGATGTGTTTCGAGCCTCCTTTATCAATTTCCGCGTCTTCGAAGCCAGGCGTGAGTCTAGCGTAAATCTTATCATTCCAGCGGCCACCGACACTCCATCGCACTCTAGCCTCCGCATCCAGCACTTTCCCAATGACCTGGTACGCGGAGCTAGCTTTCCATCCCCGAGGCTTAAAGTCAAGCTGGCATACCTCGCCGGTGGTCCAGTTCTTGATTTCCATGAGACCGTAGTTGTCAACGGTGGGGTTGCCCGTGATGATGCCGATGACGGAGGACGTGACTTTCTTCCAGGTGTAGAGTTCTTCTTTGCCGCCTGTTGCCGTGGGACGGAGGCGGAGGAACCATGTTCCAAGAGGGTTAATGTCGAAGGATTTGCCGTAGAATTTCGATTTCACTGCCGATTCGCCCTGCGGGGGTTAGCTGTAGTGTGGGACGAGGAGGGGATTATGAGCTTACGTAGTAATCCCACTTTTTGGACTCGGAGTAGGCGGCGCCAATGGGTGGGTGATGGCTAACTTGCTCGATGAAGAAACGGTATCCCTTGTCCGGCCGTGCGTATTCGTAAGTTTCGCCTAGTAGAGGATTGAAGGGCTTCGCTACACGTCCAATGGTCGAAGCGTATTCAGACGCGGCAAATGCAGCAACATACAGGAGACGCTCAGTGGAGTCGCTGCGTTCGGCGGCAGTATCGAGGAGGTCGGTGTACTCCATGTCTTCTGCCACACGCTGGAGAAGCGAAGTAGGCTCGTTGAAGGATACGGGCAAAGTCATTTTAGTCATGTCTTTGCCGATCATGGATTTGAGGATTGCCTGAACACGGTTAACACCGCCGAGGATGGCTCCTAGGAAGTTGTCTTACCCAGAGTGAAATCTTTGGTCTGTTGTCCTCATCCATGCCAAGCTTTTTCCGGATTCCTTCCTCGTATCCGACAAAACCGGTGGCAATTTCCGCGTGCTTGCTCTCGAAAAGATCTCCATACGCTGGCGGCATTTCCGTAGGTTCCATGCCCGGGCTAGCAACAGGCATCTCAACAACTTCAACCTCGCCGGCGCCAACAGCATCGAAGAACTCCTCGTCGTCCTCGGATTCAGACTCAGAGATATCCGCCGCAATGTTGGCAAACGTAGCCTTTCTCCGCAGCGCCTGGGACGAGAAACTAGGCTGCGGTCCGAGGCCCGGTTCATTCTTTTCCTCTGCCTCAACAAACTCATCTTCATCTCGAGATGGCTTGTGCTCGCCCAATTCGTACTCCTCCAGTGCTTCACGGAGCGCGCGTTTCGTCTTCCGTCGCTTCAGCTCCGACTCCCCGATGCGATTTTCCAATTCCTCCTGCTCCCTGGCTACCTTCGCCATGCTCTCCTCCCACATGCGGCGGACGTTGGCTTCTCGATCTAGTCGATACTGCCAATAGGCATCGCGATCCCTGGATATCCGTAAGAGATCGCCGATAAGCCCCTTAAGGTTACCGACAGCGGATTCGTACGACGAGAGGGCCTGGAGCATCATGGGATCCGATATCTGCAGCGTCGGATTCTTCGTCTTCTCTGACTGCAAGGCTGTCGAGACCTGGGCGAGGAGATCGAGCTGGAGTTTGGCTGACTGCGCAGTGATATTAAACGCGTCCTTGTTTGCCGGCCGCAATTCGTGGCTGCTAGCGTCGTCGCCATATTCCTCGTCGTCGTCTACGTCGCCTTCGACTGTAGCAGTCCCCACGTTGCTGACCATTTTCCCAAGCTCGTTTCCAGCTACACTAGGCTCGTAGTTGCTATCGGGATCTTCGGTCATGCTTACGCCGGACCGTGATGCCGCATCCTGGCTCGTTAAAGGAACACCCAGGGACGTAGCTGCTGAGGTTGTTAGATGATATCTTGCATGATCAACAGCCACTCACAAGGAACGAGATTCTTCGTGCTCGCAATCTTTGAGCTAGCGAGGCTGGTTGAATCTCCGTCTTTGGATGTTCGTTTGTCCAGCTGCTCCATTTTGGCCTGTTTCAAAGCCTCCTGATCTCGGGTGTGTCGTTTCTCTTCTTCGCGCGCTTCATCTTTGGCCCACTGGATGGCGTTATTCAAGGCCCAGTACCATCGCTTGGCTTCGACCTGGTGGTTAGCCTTTAGGTGGTACTTGACAGATGACTTTCCCTGGATCTCAAAGCGCTGCTTGTCTTGGGGGTCCATGTACAGCTTCGCTATTCGCATGTTGATGGCGCCACGGCACGCCGATCCTGTGTCGTCTGCAAAGATTAGCCCATAGCTTCAAAATGAGCGAACATATGGCCAACCTTGATGCTTGTAGTAGCTGAGCACGCCGTCCTCAAGAACGAACCACCGTAGCTTGTATCCGCTCGTGTAGTTGGTCCACTTCTTGAGGTAGCCCTTCATCTCGCGCGACTCCTTTGCGCCCATGCCACTGTCCTGTGCTGCTCCAGCTTGCGATGCGGCTCCAGCAAGGATCGTCTTCTCCTGGATGCCCCTCTGGGCTGCCGCCGCGGCCGGCGAGCGCTTCAAGATGGCGCGGGTGCGATCGTCCTTGGTGTAATCTTGGGGCAGCTTTCCCTTGCGATCTCGGCGAAATGGATCAGCTCCGTTGAGCAGTAGCAGCTGCGCCAGTTTTACATCCCTCTTCTTCGCCGCCTCATGTAAAAGGGTGCCCCCAGCGTCTTGGACGACAGGGTCGGTCGCCAATTCTCCGCCATTCACATCCAGGGTGCTCTTGATGCGCGGGTCCTGCAGCAGCTTCTCCAGAGCTGCCATGTCCGCCGTGACCATCAGCTGTTGTATCTTCCGCACATTGGTGTCGATGAATATCGAGCGTGCAAGCTGCAGCTGCTGGAAAATGTCCGGTGTGCGGGCGAGGTCCAGCGGCGTCTGGCCATTGTAATTGGTGATGGAGTCATTGATGCCCTGCTGGTCGAGCAGCATGCGCACAACGGGCGCGCGGCCGAGGGTTGCTGCGAGATGGAGGGGCGTGTTGCCGTCTCGGTCGCGGCCATTAATGTCGATGACGGAGTCGGGCGAAGGCGTCGCATTGGAGAGCACAAATTCGATCACAGGCACCTCGGCGCATTGAATGGCCAGGTGCAGGATCGAGGTCCCCTCGGTGCGGGTGGGGAGGGACAGCGAGGAGGTGCTCTGGTCGCTGTCGGCCGGCGCTGCCTGCTCCCTGATTGCCTTGGAGATAGCGGCGGTGTCGCCATTGCGCAGCGACTCGAAGACGCGGAACAGCTTCACGGACTGCTCTATGGAGGCGCCCTTGGGCGTGGGCGAGAGCGGCGAGGTATTGTGGCTCGGCGACGAGGGCGTGGGGCTGTCCTGCGAGATGGCATTGGACATGCTGGCGGAGAGGTGCGGGCGGTGCTTGGTCGAGGCGCTGCGATGGTGGCTATGCGAGTGTGCATGGGAGTGCGGGTGCGGGTTGGAGATGTGCTGCGAGCTGAGGGACGTGGCTGACGAGCTGGGCGGAAGGCTGCTCGCGTCGTTGGGATCGGTGACGTCGGTCTTGGAGGAGACGCGCGAGAGGAGGTTCTTCACGCTGGCGGACTTGGTGCGCTTGTGCCTGCGTGCGGGGTCAGCGGCCGCTGCAACTGTCTCGCACGTCCAATTGCTCCTTTCAGGAAGCGCATTGCGCTGTGGGTTCGCGCGGACGCGGGCTGCTGGAGGGGGAGGAGTCGTCTTCTTGTGCTTGTTGGGGGGGAGGGTTGGCACTTACCCTTCCATGGCGCCGGCGTCAGTGGCCAAGAGCGGCGGGCGTGGGTAAATGTATGGGCGGCAGCGGGGCGCGACGAGTGAAGGAGGCGGACATCAAGAGGACAAGCAGAGTACAAAACGGGGACGGGGAGGGGACGGAAAAAGGCGCGTGTTGTGCGACTTTGAATCGAGAAGCACGGAGCTTGACGTCGCCAAACGGTGGCGGGGCGAGCCAGGGGCACGAGCACGCACAGAGCACGCCGGGACAGCTTGGACACGGTTACATACCGTACATGGCGGCACAGCCCGATCTACCCACGTAGTTTTGGACTCTAGCCGTCCACCGTCTGACTATTACTCGTACGCAGCGTCGGGTCGAGAACTGCGTGCTCACTGCCCAGGCATGGCTAGCGCGCGGATAGCTGCACCTGCACGATTATGTACACCCGTCTACTACACACACACACATACATACATACACGCGCTTTCACGAGCTCTCTCCGCCCACGAGAACGACTACGCTCCCGAGCTGTCGCCGCAGGTCCTCCTTCTCGACGTCGTGCGTGTCTTCCACTTCTCCCCACTGCCCCGTCTGCCAGCGCACCTCTAAGCTCGATGCTTCGGCCGCTTCCTCGATTCCGAAGCGGCCCGCATCAGCAGCCATCCGCGATTGCGCAAACGCTTCGCCCCACTCGTGGATAAGCCGGACGCCGACAAGCAAGCTCTTGGAAGCCAGGACGGCGCGTTCGAGGCCAGCGAGCTCGAACGGGGGAACAGCCGACAGCCAGCCGCGCACTACCTCCTGCGTCATCGCGGGCTGTGAGACGGGAATTATGCTGTCCGGCTCGAGAATCGGTTTGATTTCGACGCCCGGCCAGACCTGGGTGGTGAGATAAGCGATGATGGGCGAAGCAACCTTGGTCTGTTGCTGGCGCAGCGTGAGGCCGTTCTGCGGGACCTCGTGGAGCGTCTTCTCCGGTGCCCAGCAGAGCAGCGTGTCCGTGGCGAGATAGCGCAGCAGCATCCCGATGATGTCGTTCCTTATCTGGGAGGTCCCTTCCCTGTCCGCCTTCTCGATGTCGAGTGCGCGCGCTGCGAGCGAGGTCATGGGGATGTAGTGCGTCTTCAGGGCCTGCTGTGCGCTCAAGAGGAGGTCCCATTCGAGCGCAATGGCCGTGGCGAGCTGGTGCTTCGAGGGCGGGAGTGTGAGGATGTCCTTGGACGGGGTGCGCACCGGTCTGCCGTCGAGGAACACCTGCAGTCCATCTACAGCCGTCAGTTCTGGCCGCAACTGGAGCTCGACCAGATAGGAGGGAGGAGTAGCGCAACGCAACAAAATCAGAGCCGGAGGTGGTCAACACGAGTTGTTCAGACAGGGATAACTGAATGGTAATGTGCCTCATCCTGTTGCCGTGGAGTGGAGTGAAGGAGTGACGCTCGTACCTGGTGTTTCCCTGACGGAGACGTCCTTCCAGAAGCGCTTCTGCAGCACCGTCTTCGGCCTTGACGGAGACGCGCGCGCTTCCTGAGCCTGCTTCAGCAGCTCGGCCTGCTTCCTCTTGCGCGCAACCCGGCCCAGCGCATCTGACGGGGCCGGCGAGGGCGTCTCGGGCGGCGGACCAGGCACCGAGGGATGCGGCAGTGGAGTGGCGCGTCGCGAGGCGGACCAGTGCAGGCACTGGTACAGCGGGCGGGGCGCCCGTCGAGAGGCCGCCTGCCGCAGCGTCGACGCCAGTGCCGGGCGAATGCGAATTGGCTCCATTGCGAGCAGTGCAGGAATACACGGATGGCTGATGAAGTTGAGAACTTTTTGATAGATAGCTCGCACTTATAGATGCGCGCGCGCTCGGCTCGCAGGGTGGCGCGGGCGCCAGGGCCCCCGGGGGATTTCTTCCGCTGCCAGCGCCATCGCCAACGCCGTCGCCGTCGCCATCGCCATCGCATCCCATCTGCCTTCACGCTGCAATCCCGCCGAGCACCTATCAGCACGCGGCCCTCATCTCTCGCCGGCCGCCCGTGACCATGTGCATGTCTTTCCGGAGCCTCTCTCGCATTTCTCCAGCATCGCCATCGCCATCGCCATCGCCCGCGCCCCGCCATTGAGCGCTCCATCTCTTCGGCTGCCCCGCCCCGCCCTGCGCTCCAGCTATCGGCCTGGCTCGATGCCGCACTGAGACGGCTCCTCTCCACACCCACGACTTTAATGAATACCAATGCTCCCGCCTCTGCGAATGCTGCCCCTCCCCAGCCGCGGCCCATTCGCTTCGTCACCAACCATGACGGGCCCTACGCGAAGCGCCGCAGGATCAACTCGGCGTGCCTGACATGCCGGCGGAAGAAGACGCGCTGTTCGGGTCCGTCCAGCCCTCCAGCCCTCCGGCCCTCCAGATAAGAGTTATACTCGCAACCAGGACATTCGCTGACTTGGGGCAAGGCGAGCGGCCCGTCTGCGGCACCTGCGCCCAGAACAAACACCACTGCGCCGGCTACGGCGACGATAACACGAGCCCGACCGAAGCAACCAGGGACGGCAGGAAGCCGGCGTCGAGGGAGAGCAATGCGGCGAGCACCACGTCTGCCCGCGTGAAGCAGGAGGGCGCCGCCCACCCCCCGCGCCCGCGCCCGCGCCCGTGCCCGCCGCATTCAGCGTCGAACGCATCGCAGAGCTCCGACTCGTCGACCGCCATCCGCATGTCCAGGCTGGACGAAGACAGCAGTATGCTCTTTGCTCTGCTGCAGTGCACGCGCGCTGACTGTGACTAGGGAACGCGGCCCTGACGCTGAGCACGCGCAACCGCATGCCATACTTCCGCTACTTCGGTCCGACGGCCATCATGCCCGGCTTCAAGCAGATGGTCGTCAAGGTCAGGGGAAAGCAGCACGGCACGGGCCATACCACGTCAGACCGTATGCGCAAGTCCCCCGCACAACTACGTCCAGTCTAACGGGTAACAGCCCTGGAGTCTTCGCCGGGCCAGCCGCCGTCAGTGGGCTCTCCGCCAGCTCCAGAATCCCGAACGCCGGTCGACATCCCGGTCTACGACACATCGGCAATGTCTCCGAGTCCGCTCATCACCCATCTCTGCAAGCTGTTCTTCGTGCACCTCGGTTGCAATTTCCCCTTTCTCCAGCGCGAGCGCTTCATGCGTGATCTCGAGGAAAAGCAAGTCGACGCTATCCTAGTGGACGCGGTGTGCGCCTTGGCCGCCAGGTTCTCGAGTCACCCGATGCTAACCGGGGCCCCGGAACCCCAGAAAGACGTTGAAAGCGAGGCGCCAAAGATCCACCCCTCTGAGTATGGCCAAGCCTTCGCCCAACGAGCGAAATCGGCTATTCCCGATGCGTTCCCCTGCCCTAGCGTCGCCGTCGTTCAGGCGGCGTTGCTTCTAGCATACGACGAGTTCGGCGCCAATCGCGACAGCGGCCTCTGGATGTATCTGGGCATTGCCATCCGCATGGCCCAGGACCTTGGGATGCAAACCCTGGAAGGGTTAAAGTACGAGGGTCGCGACGGGCCGACTCCAAAGTCCGTGAAGACGGATCCGAACGCAGGCTCCGATTCCTCACACAAGGTACCCGAAGCTCGCCGAAGGGGGAGTGCCGTCCCCGCCGAGGAGGAGCAGCGCGCTGTCGAAAGGGAGAGGCTAGACACATTCTGGTCCATCTTCTTCCTCGACCGCGTCATCTCATCCGGCACAGGCCGTCCTGTGACTCTGCGAGATAAAGACATTGAGATCTCCTTCCCATCTCTCGACGAAGTAGATGCTGCTTCGGGTTGGCCCCTACCGTTCCCGGCTCTGATACGGATCGTACATCTCTATGGCCGAGTGACCGACCTGCTCAACAGCATCAAGGAGAAGTCTGACATTACGGATGACCTCCGTAAACAGCTTGACACGCTTGAGTACCATCTGACGGAAATCTACCAGAACCTCTCGCCCAAGCTCCATTTCAACGCCGTCAACTTCCAGCACTATGTCAAGCTCAACCAGGGTACCAACTTTCTGCTGCTTCATTGCTGGTTCCACACACTTATCGTCCTGCTACACCAGCCGACGTTGCTCAAGACGTTCGAAGGCAGCACCCAGCCTCTCTCAAACAACAGCAGAGAACTGTCAATGTCTTCCGCCAAGACAGTGGCGGACATTCTAGCGTTTACGGATCTTATCGACGCAAAGACGGGCGTTGGCAACCCCTTTACCAGGTATGTAAGCCCCCAACTATGCTTTCATCGACATCGCCGACCGTATAGCCAACCCATCTACATCGCCGCTTGCGCCTTTCTGCAAGAGACCGCTCTGCATTCCGCATCTTCCCAGCCCCATTCTCGTCCTTGTAGCCCTGGCGCGCTGGAAGAAGATGATACCGCGGAAGTCAGTAAGGTGTCGATAGACCACATGACCTTCGATAAGCCACCAGCATCCACCAACGGTCACGGGGAGCGGGCCGGTCACCCAAATGACCGCGATCAAAAACAGGCTGCTAAGCACACATTGCTCGCCTCTGCCGCGAATCAGAACTATCAGCGCTGCTATCGGGCACTAAAGTCTCTTGAGACGTACTGGGCCGGTGTCAAGTACATACTCACGGTATTGGACCAGAAGTCGAAGGGCGTGGTCGATCCGTTGCTCTATACGAAGGAAGAGATGGAAAGCGCCCTGGAGGTTCCGCGGCCAGAACCCTCGTTCACGAGCCCAGGGTGGCGGAGAAAGCTGAGCTGGGGGACATATCTTACAGCGCAGAACATGGATGTTGATGCTGCGAAAGTGTCTGCTGCAATTCGGAAAGGCTCTCGCACTCCTATACCCGGCTCTCCGATGAACCCTAGCCAAGGTAAGCCTGCTGCCAGTTACGGTTACATATTTACTGACCTTGGTGGAGCTATCGGGTGGTCACTCACGGGCACCATGAACTCTCCCTCAACGAACGTCGCCGTCATGTATACCTCTGAGAATAACAATACCCGCGATACAAAACCCCTCCAGGCGAAACCTATACCACCACTAGCGAGCAGTCAGCCTTCCATCGCATCAGTCATCTCCAACCCCACGATAAAATTCGAGCCATCCCAAACCATGCCCTCTCCCGCCTCCTTTCCATCCTTCGATCCAACCACCATGCCGCCCCCTCCGACCCAGAACCTCAACACCGTCCCCACCCCCGATCCTGTCCTCGTCTCCGACGCCGATCTCCTCCTCAACCTACACTCCCCTTTCTCAGCATCCTCGCCAGGAAATCCTCGTCCACCGCTCCAACCAACCTCCTTCGCCCGCAGCACGACGTCCGCACCCTCGAATAACCCTCCGAACCCGCAGCCCCCACCGCCGCAACAAACGGATTTCTCCCCAACCGCATTTACCACGTACCCTACCCCTTCAGATCATGCGTTTGGAGATATGGTCATCGATTCTCAAGAGGTCGATATGTCGGTGCTAGGTGCGGATATGATGCCATGGGACCTGGAGTACTTACCGCATGACATGCTATATTTCGGGGATGCTGCGGCGTTTGGGGTTGGTGGTGTTGGAGATGACACGGGGACGGGTGCACCGGAGGGGTGAAAGACCTCTGGATGCGACGACAGGCTGCTTTGTTTTGCGGGTAGGGCGCTGGCGGGACTTTTGTTTCGGTGCATGTACATAGCGAATCGGGACTTGGGCTGTAGGTTTGACGCATCTATAAGCGTATGCTTGAGTGAATTGTATCGGAACAGGTTTGTGCGGCCGGATCAACACAGACAAGTGTTCTTCGGCCTCTCCGGGTGGGTGTATAGGGTCCTGAAGGGCTTCGGCCCATTTCTGGGAATGGGAGATCGTTAATTATGCATCGTACCAAGCACCTCGGTTTGTTTGCTCCTCAGACCTTTCTCCTTGCGCAGGTTACAGGCCTTTTCGCGTAGCTGACGGACGGGGAGCAAAGCTGTCCTAGGCTGATAGAAGACGACTAGGCCGTATAGCGCGCGGGAAACTATCGAGGAGAAAGCCATGTCATTTCGGAGGAGGTTTGAGTGCCGTGGGGGCTGTGCGATGGTCTGACATGCGAGACGCAAACCCCGTGAGCTTTCGCTCCTCAGCCTTGTGCACCTCTCATTGCTTCTCAGCCTCGCGCATCTATCAGCTCGTTGAAGATGAAATGCAGCATGCAACCCGTCAATTGGCTAGATTTCTTACTCAGCGTCCTTCACTAAGTCCGAAGCTCGCCTCGCAGAATGACTGCCCAAGTGAATTGCCCAAATAGGCATGCCACTGCGAGCACTTCCGCATGCGTCTCTCAACGACATCGTGCCGCACCCTCCAAGCTTATTTACCCTAGTTTCCAGCCCCGCTAGTGCAGATCTCTCATGCAGATCTAATACAGCTTCCGTAGAGACATGCACGCTTTAGCCTAGATGCGGTCACCTAGAAAACTACTCCCCCTGCTTTGGAATCCGCTCCGTCAAGATGCTGCGAGTTGATAATTACGCTATGGAAATTGAGGTATTAGCCATATGCTACCTCAGGGGTATGCATAGGGTTACCCCCTAGCATTGATAGACGCTAAAGCCAGGCTTGCTGCCAACGCATAGCCGGGTTACCTCCTACTCACCCCGCCCACATCACGGCCGCGTCCTCATAGTCGAGTTCTGTCTCAATTCCCCTTCCGCGTCTGCAACTATGGCTCCCTCACTCGTCCAGCCTCTCCTTCTTCTCATCTTCACCGCCTTCACCATAGCAATCGGGCCCACCAGCATCTTCATCAACCAAGTGCCCGAATACTCCCTTCTATCCCAATGCGCGGAAACGGAAGTCTCCACTATCGTACGCGACATGGCATATGGCTGCGGTGACGACTCGCGCACGACATCGTTCGCCTGCTTCTGCTACGATAGCTCCGCCAAATTCTCCGGCATGATCGGGAGGCATGTACAAACCGCTTGCACAACAGATGGTACGCAGAATACTTCGGTCGTCGAAGTGTTCAGCAGCTATTGTCAATTGGGCCAGGTTGCGGCGAACCCCCCAGGTTGGTAGAATCCGAGGCGAAAATGGAAATGCATGGGAAGAAGAGGCTGACAGGATGTGCCAGCAACGTTAAATAAGTTAGATGTGAGGGCTGGCTCCCGGTCTCCACTGCTGTACGTGCGCTCCGGAACACCTAGCTGGGTAAGTCGATTGCGGGCAATACGGTCTCCACGAGCTGTGAGGATAAGGGCGACGAGCAGGGTAGGTTAGGTTAAATTTAGCTATCCAAAGGTGAGGAGCAAAAGAAGACTCTAAGAGCTTTCTATATACAGGAAGCTAAGCGCTAAGGCGCTAGGCGAGGTTATGTAACTCTAGTAAATACTAAGCTAGACTATTATATTACTCTCTTTTATAGAAAGAGCTTATTCTTAAGCTCTAAAGTACGCTTCTAAGATTATTCTAGCTATTAACTCTATTACTAAATTACTTCTTACTCTACTTAGTAGTACCTCTACGCTACTCTCTTATCTTCTACCTATATAGATTTTAAATTCTCTACTATCTTTTATAGAGTCTTCTCTCTTTTATATATCTTAATCTAAGTATCTAGTTATAATAGTAGCTTTAGCTTATCTAAATATACTATATAGAAGTCTCTTATCTTATAGAAAGTATTAATAAAGCCTATAGTATTATACTAGGTAGAGTTAGAATTATAAGCTATCTATATAGCTTAGTATTAAAGATAACTTTAATAAATATAGCTATCTAGTATCTTATATATAGACTACTCTAGATTACTATTAACTTTAATAAATAGCTACTTAGGCTCTACCTACTCTAGTAATAGCTCTAAGGCTTTTCTTAGCTAATTAGTATAAAAGATATTATATATACGTATATATATAGATAGCTAAAGCTAAAAGAAGTAACTTTTTATAATAATAATTAGATAAAAGCTATATATTTATTAATTAAGCTTAGTACTAGGCTAATCTATTAAAAAGCTATAAGGTTTAATATAGATAAGGTTACCTATAGTAAAATTAGATTCTTAGTACTTTTTATTTACTTAGAGTATCTATCTAGCTTACGCTTTTATAATATTACTTTATATAATCTTAGTAGCTTTTTTTATAGTATTATATTACTTCTTAGTAAAAACCTAAGCTTTCTAATATAAAAGATACTTATATAAAGTAATATATTAGCTAGTATTTAAATTTAATTTTATATAATAATAGTTCTATAGTTTTATATAGTAGTATAAGAGCTAGCTTTATAGTCTCTACTACTATAAGCATCTTAAAATATCTAGCTAGATAAGTTAGCTATAGATAGTACTATCTCTATAAGCTATAAGAATAGAGTACTAGTAGAGTAGGTTAGGTTAAATTTAGCTATCTAAAGATAAGAAGTAGAAGAATACTCTAAAAGCTCTCTATATATAGAAAGCTAAGCGCTAAGACGCTAGATAGAGTTATATAACTTAGGCAAGGTTATATAACTCTAGAAAATACTAAGCTAGACTATTATATTACTCTCTCTTATAGAAAAAGCTTATTCTTAAGCTCTAAAATACGTCTCTAAAACTATCTACGCTATTAACTCTATTACTAAATTAGTCTTCTACTCTACTTAGTAATACCTTTACGTTACTTTTATATCTTCTACTTATATAGGTTTTAAATTCTTTACTATTTTCTATAGAGTCTTCTTTTTTTTATACACTTTAATCTAAGTATCTAATTATAATAGTAGCTCTAGCTTATCTAGGTATACTATATAAAAGTCTTATACCTTATAGAGAGTATTAATAAAGCCTATAGTATTATACTAGATAGAGTTAGAATTATAAGAAACCTATATAGCTTAGTATTAAAGATAATTTTTATAAAGATAGCTATCTAGAATCTTATATACAGGCTATTCTAAATTACTATTAACTTTAATAGGTAGCTACTTAGGCTCTACCTATACTAGTAATAGCTCTAAGACTTTTCTTAGCTAATTAGTATAAAAGATATTATATATATATATATATATACGTAGATAGCTAGAGCTAGAAAGAGTAACTCTTTATAGTAATAATTAGATAAGAGCTATATATCTATTAATTAAGCTTTACGCTAGACTAATCTATTAAAAAGCTATAAGATTTAATATAGACAAGATTACTTATAGTAAAATTAGATTCTTAGTACTTTTTATTTACTTAAAGCGTCTATCTAGCTTACGCTTTTATAATATTACTTTATATAATTTTAGTAGCTTTTTTTATAGTATTATATTACTTCTTAGTAAAATTCTAAGCTTTTTAGTATAAGAAATACTTATATAGAGTAGAGACTTTTATTATATACTTCTTCTAATTCTAGTAGTATATTAGCTAGTATTTAAATTTAATTTTATACGCTATTAGTTCTATAGTTTTATATAGTAATATAGCTTATATCTAGTCTATATAAAGTAAGAGGTCTAACTAATTATTCTAGTAATAGTTAATAAATAAACGTAGACGCTAATTAAGGTATTAATTAATAATTTCTATATTTCTATTAGTTTATAGGTAATATATAGTAGAGAGCTTCTACTTAATTCTAGTAAGCTAGTAAAGCTTATCTATAAAGATAGAAGTAAACTATAAACTATAATTTAATATAATAGACCTAGAAAGACTATATATACGCTAGATATATTAATAATATAGCTTTTCTATATATTAAGCTATAATTTTCTTATAGTATAGTAGAGAGAAGCTCTACTTACTTAGCTAATTTATAATAACGTATACGTAATTAAATTCTTTTTTATTAAAGAAAAAGCTCTTAAAATTTATAAAGACGTTCTACTATACTCTCTTAGAGATAGATAAAAGCTTTAGAAAATCTAGTATCTTATTATGTAGAGTATAGCTCTACTAGTAAGCTTTATATACTACTATATATATATTAACGTCTTCTTATATATCTAGCTAGTAATATTAATCTTATAGTAACTAGATAGTCTTTTAGTACTCTAGATAGATAGTTACCTAAGTAGTATATATAGCACGTATTAGATACGCTTATAAATAGTTAATGTAAGGGCTAGGTTCGTAGTCTCTACTACTATAAGCGCCTCTAGAACACCTAGCTAGGTAAGTTAGCTGTAGGTAGTACTGTCTCTATAAGCTATAAGAATAAGAGGTACTAGTAGAGTAGGTTAGGTTAAATTTAGCTATCTAAAGGTAAGAAGTAGAAGAAAGGCTCTAAGAGGCTCTATATATAGAGGTGCCGAGCGCTAAGGCGCTAGGCTAGGTTACGTAATTAAATTACGTAACCTAAGGTTATATAACCTAAGGTAAATCTCTAAACTAGACTATTATATTACCCCTCTTTATAGAGAGAGCTTGTTCCTAAGCTCTAAAATACGCCTTCTAGGTCTCTCTCCTTCTAAAACTCCCGCGTTATGCTCTTAACTGTCTTTTTTAGCTTATAGTAAGTGTATTCGTATTAGTTTTAAACTAGAAGCGCTTTTATAGCTACTGTGAGGGCTGGGTCCGCGGTCTCCACTGCTGTGAGCGCCCCTGGAACACCTAGCTGGGTAAGT